CACAGAACAATGCTTGTGTTCGGGTTTACTTGGACAGCTGCATCGATGGCATTGTTAGCTTGGTATGATTCAAACGGATGGGGAGACTGTCGCCTACAAACAGCGTAAGATAGGGCAAGCGTGTGCGCGGCCCGCTGGTCCGGAGCCGTGGCGTATAAGCCACCAGCGAGCTTGATTGGCCGTCTGATCATACAGTTAGATGGACACAAAGCTTTTTTGGATAGCAACAAGAAGATTATTAAGACGTACCTCTGCTGGCCCTTGATTAACCCACAGACAGAAAAGCAAATCACTCTAGTAGTCCCCTTTTGGAAGACTCCAGATATGATCAACGACGAGATTTCTTAGTAGGCGTCTCGGGGGTTGCGGCAGGAGCAGTAGCTCGCCGCATAGCGTTTCGTGTACCCCGATCAAGGGTAGCTTGGCTGCCAGCATCGGAAGTCGCCGGCGAAGTGATCGGCGTCTTGTCCGGACGAATGCGGCGAACCGTTGCAGGAGAACGATCAGAGACGTTTCCCGGGTCCGTCGGAGTTCCCAAAGCCAGAATAGATTCCTGACACGCCGCTGCAGCGGCCTGGTCATCTTTCATCTGTCTCGCAGCGGCCTCCTTTTTCTGTGCCGCCCCCATCTTGCGCCTCAACGCCGGGAGTGTCTCTCGGTCAATGACCTCAAAGATCCAAAACAGCCGTCTGGTCTCCGCGTACCAGTTCTCCCTGTCCGCCTCGGCCTTCTCCACGGCCGCCAGAAGCTCGGGGATTTTCTCGGGCGGGTACGGCACGTGTCTCGGTGGGTTGCCGCTCTGGATCCTCTCGTCATCCTCGATCGCGCGCACGAGACGTCTGTTGGTGGCGTCGAAGGCGGCGTCGAGAATCTCGGCGGTGGCGCTCTCGTCCCGCGTGAGGTGCTCGAACAAGCCGCGGGCGCGCTTGTATTCGGCTCTGGTCTCTTTGATTTCGACAGCGACCGAGCGGACCTCCCGGGTGGCCTCTTGCAGGGCAGTGAGCTTTGGCTTGGGGGGCGCAGGACGACGACGATCGGCTGGCGCCTTGGTTGGGGTTGAGGGCGCTGAGGAGAGGCTCGATGATCCACCCTCCAGGTCTGGTGACTTGGGTCGGGGGGCGCTCAACAGGTCGATGGGGATGGGAGTATCGTTCCGCGGAGTGGTCTCATCGACAAAAGGGTCGGTGGAAGATTGATCTAGATCCATTGTCGACGGCGTGATGGCAGACATCTTGTTTTTGGGAGCCTGCTAGTTGCGCTTGTAAGCTTGTGACTTGCCATGGGGCATGGAGTTGGGCATGCCTCGTCAAAGTCTTCCTCTTCTTCGTCGCTATCAAATTCTCCGCAAGATGAGGAAGAAGAGTCGCCTTGGTAGGCAATGTCGGCCTGCTCGTTGCTGTCGAATGAGTTGGGTATAGGAGATGCTGTGTATCGAAACTTGGTAGATCCAAATGGCAGGCTACCGCTTAGAGTGACAGCGGTATCAGATACTTGAGCCCCGACCGAAAGCCTGGACGATTGAGGCGATACGGTTAATGTTGACGAGTTTTGACGGGCGCGAGTGGTTTTCCCGGCAGAGGCGGTTGAGCTGTTCGAGGAAGCAGGAGCCTCAGGGACGAGACTTGGACTAACAGCCACACTTCCATCACTTCCGCCACCACCGACGCGCTTGACTCTTCCCGTTCTTACCATTGTATCAATGCCTTCACCTGCACTCTAAATCAATAAAAGACGTCTGCCGAATTTCCGCTGCAAGAAACAGACTCGCAACTGGATTGAAACACGCTTACTTGTAATGTGTAGTGCCGTAAATAGCGAATACTGGCGGGACGAATGCCACCTTTTGCGTAACGTCGAAACAACCTCGAATGCCTGCTGATTCAAATATTATAGGTGAAACTTTGGTGGGAAGGCCAAAATTCAAGTCGTTGGCTCAAAGAGGGAACTTTCGAAGCCAACTCTCTGAATCAAGAAGGGCCCTTATGCCACTCAAACGGTCTTGACCCGGTGAATCTACAGCGACTTCCCGTCTGGTATACCGGCCAGGTTCTCGAAGCAGTGAATAACATCGTGAGACTTTGTTCGGAGGTGAGAAAAATCCCATTCAACAGTATGAGGGTTGTGAGTTGGCAAAACTTAAGTCCCTTCACCTGTTCACTAGACAAGTTCAATGGCTCTTTCTAGGAACCTTTTTCTGAACATATTCTTGCTTTAAGATATTGTAATTTCCTTTAAAACCACTTGTTTGAACCTAAAATACAACAAGAAACTAAGGCAGGTTTTGTATGTTCCTATAGGACTTTTGCACAATCAAGTAGCTTTTATATCTGCTGTGGGATATGTATAGTTGACGCCACCTTTGAAGACAGCGCAAAGATTGAGAGAGGTTAATATGTATCAGCTATCAATTGGTACTGCCCTGGAAACATATGCTATGAAATCTTCATCCGTGGTTTGCGGTCTTCGTACTTCATTCTGCTGAGACCGCCTGCAGCCTACCCCACGCAAGTCGGGTCTTTTACCTCAGAGGAAACAATATCTTTGTGGAACGCCCTTGGATGACTGAAATTGTTTCTGCGTCTCATTTGTAACCAAAGACCCGCGAAGTTCATTGTTCACGCTTCCATCTGTGAAAGACGGAGCAGAAGTGATCATTCTAGTCTCATTCGCCTCACAGTTTTACTGCAGTTCCTGTGGCGGCCATCAGGGAATCATTTCGAAGTCTTTCCTCAAGTGCTCACCCGCCTCATTTGCTAGCCTTGATTATTCCTTCCTCGTCAGCCATGATATTGTTCATCCTTCACCTCCACCAGCCACAAACCACCATCCTCTTTGGCCAAACTTGAAAAATCTCCTACCCTACCACCTCTCGCCAGCTCAGGCCGAAATACATCTTATCAACAGTATTGCCAGAATAGATCACGTACGTATATCAAATCGTGTAGTGCGGCCGAGTAAACAGCTGACTTCGTCCCCAGGATGGCCCCCCGTCTCGATAAGATGATCCTCGACGCCCTTGAGGAAGTCGCCAATAAGTCGCGCAAACCCATCGATGAGGTTTTGCGCGCCACTCAGACGATTATCGAGAATAACATTGTCAAAGACGAGCCGGCTGCTGTAGACGAGGCGCCCGCGCAGGCTGCGCCAGTCGCCACCCCTGCCAACACCGCCACCAAGATCGCTGCGAATACCGCAGCGAAGCCATCTGCTCCGAAGGCTTCTGTCCCCGCGCCAGCTGCCACCAAGGCCTCTGCTCCCGCGAATAAGCGCTCCGCTCCGAAGCCTCTGGGATCTGCGGCCAAGCGAGCCGCCCCCAAGGTGAAGGCTCCTGCCTCCGACTCGGACACCGTCCCCGACGAACCTGTGGCCAACTCCGCGAGTCAGGGGAACGTCAACCAATTTCCTTGCGGGTTCTCCGACTGCTCCAGAGTCTTTCATCACAAGAGCTCGCGTAACCGCGTGAGTATTCCGGCCGAAGCGCCTGGTGCCTGCGTGAGCTTAATCTGACAGAGGCGTAGCACTACAAGATCAACCATAACGGCCAGAGACCTTGAAGGGGTAGGTGCCACGAGAGGCAAAGGGAACAGACTACGAATTCAGATGACGACGGGCCTGACTGGTAAGCTGACACCGTACAATCTCGTTGTCTCGAGGTCGTCTAACACATCACCCACAGTAGGCCAGCAAGACGATAGCTATTTCCTGTGCTCCGTTCAGTAATCCCCTAAATCCGCTTACCATCAATGACTTTGTCTGGAGGATGGATTTTTTTGGGTTCTTTTGGCGTTTACCGATATTCTGACTCGACTTGGGTCTTGAAAGTAGGCTAGTCCAGTAACTTTAGGCCACGCCATTCACACTTTGTCTTGATTCTACATTAGCAGAAACAACTACAAATACAACAGTGTTACCCAGACCTCACTTATTGGAACGATGTAGGACCAATAAATACGTTTCTGTTGTATTGAGGCATATGAAGTGATTCAGTAGCAGTAGCTGGGTTATCCAAATCAGCGGATACTTTCCTCGTGTAGTGAACTGTTTCTTCTCTCATTTATGTCAATCTGCACTCAGCACTAGCCTTGATATTTGTCTAACAGTTTTATCAGCGAGAATATCTGCTATGTATCCAGGCCGACACGCCAGACTAACCATCAAAATACCGGGTTGAACCCACCATTTACTTACTTTTCCTCCGATACTCGAGGTAATTCCCGAATTCAACCACAGCAACACAAGCACAATGGCGCCAGAGCAAGACGCTGCCACCCACGCTTCCGATCTCGAATCTTCCGCTGTGGGCGTATAGTCGCATAGTCCCGCTATGACTTTGGTCATGACCAAGCCTACAGCCCTGGGCCTGGACCTAACCAAGAGAACCCCGCTTCCCACGTCTCGCCCAGCTCGAGCCGCGGCGGCGACAGCTGGCGGTATTAATCTAGAGCCGAAGCCAGAGTGACGATGTGGAGGACTGGGTCCGAAAATCTGGCCATGCTCTGTTCTCGGCTGCCGCACGACCGGCACGGGGGTCTATGCCCTCAGGGAAGTAAGTTTCTGAATTCCGAATCCGTCAAATATTTCCACTATGCTGAGTTTTGAAATAACATCTTTGTAGATCCCACAGTCTTACACTGAAAGCCTCCAAGGTCCGCAGGAGCGTGACTGTTCTGCAGGCTGGCAAGGCCGACAAGAAGGACCAGAACGGTGGCGAAGTCGACGCTGCCAAGACGTGGTTTAACACCACATAGATGCGCCATTGGAGGGGATATAAGACACTCATATGGCAAACGACTCTCCTCTCTCGGTTACGATGGTGTATACTGCGAATGACACCAATGGAAGCCGCTAGTATGACATCTCACTGCCGTGTTCTGTGTTGACTGTGTGCTCGTGAAGCTCGCCAAAACAAACCGAGGGGACTTGGGCAGAACGTAGCTGACTTCATTGGGACTCAGATGATCAAGGCTGTTTTCAGAGACACTTAGTACACATTGATCACCATCTATGCCTTCCTTCAGGACGCATCCATAAACCAAAGATGGCGCTTTCTTTTGTCACCCTAATGGGCGATGCTCAAGACTGGTCAGGTACTATGGATAACCAACCAGGGTGAGCACATCCATTCACAGGCATTCTGATGGGTTTTGCCACGCACCGCAGACTGCCTTGCTGTAAAAGAAATAGAGACGAGCACTATGTCCACTTAAATCTATCCGCATAAGGATAGTAGAATGCAATCTTTACTTTTATTTTGAATCTATCATTGCGTCGGAAGTAATCCGCCTCGTTGCCACGGAGCCGTTCGTTGACGACGTCGCCGCGAAACGTTACTGGCCGACAATCTCCTCCTTGCAGTAGATACCGTATTCCTGAGCGCAGGTACGGCAGATTAGCTCGATGAACAGGTATTAAGGTGATCATATTTACCTTGAGGTCCTTCATGAGAGGATCGTTGATCTTGCTGCTCATGGGAGCGAGGACGCCCCTCTCGGAAAGGGTTCCATTCAAAACTTGCTTGACGGCAACCGCGCAGGGAATGCCCACTAGGCTCGGTTAGTCGAAAAGGCTCGTCGTCCGTGGGCATGTGGTACTCACCAAGTTTGGCCATAGCTGAGTAGCCGTTAGGGTCGGTGCTGCCGTACTCGACAAGGGTCGAGAGCCTGGTCTGCTTGGTGCCGTCCTTCAACTCAACCTCGAACTTGTGTTGCAGGCTTTGCTTGGATTAGCATCATTTAAAACGGGGGAATATGCCTCGAGTGGCGCTACGCCCGAATCCAGTCCAGTGACTTGGACCTTCGGCATGCAGAAGTGCGGGAATGCTTCACTCACATAACGATATCGCGCTCTCCCTCGGCAAACTGCATCTTCTTCTCAAGGGTGGCGCAAAGGGTGTCCAGCGGGTTTCCTCGGGGGATGATCTTCAGCCCTTCTGTGTTAGCCCAGCTCTCTGATTGATGCCACGTCGGCGCAAGCCCGCACGCGACGAATCATGGCCAACGTATCAGGTTCGAGAGGCATATGTGTGTAGACTTACGTTCTCGGATGAAAAGATTCCAAGCCACTTGAGGCCACCCAAGATGTGGTTACGCTGCTCGTCGTCCTTGAAGCTGGTCTTGGCCAAGACTGCCTTGATGAGCTCTGCCTCTTCCGAAGAAGAAGCACCCAGAATGTTACGCGTGACCTCTTTCCAAGCAGTCGCATCCTTGCAGTAGCTCTGCTCCTCGTCCTTAAGGAATCCAATGTCGACGAGGACCTTGACGAACTCGGGGAAACCGGCGTACCGCAGAGTACCTCTGTGCACATACACCCGTCAGTGATTTTGTGCTTGTAAGGAGCGAGCGAGCCTCTATATGTACCTGATGATGGTCTGCGCTTCGGGGATGTTGTAGCGCTCCTTGTATCCTGTCGAGTCTCTGTTGGGGTACGCGACGGTAGCGAATCCTTTGTCACAAGTTATGTCAGTATCGAATGAAAGGCATGGAGATCGGTTTGAGAACTTGGACGCGGGTCTACGCACCTGGGTAGATGTGGTACGGCTTGGCAGTGGCCATGAGATCTTGGATGGAGTCAGCTTCAAACACTGGCGTAATCCGTGGCTATTCCGTCTGCTTACCGGGTCCTGCAACGTTGACGATCTTGCCGTCCTGGTAGAAGCTGGCGGCATTCCGCAGCGCGAGCAGGACGCCGCGGGGAGACCTAGATTCTTTGTTAGCACGATGACTCCTGGCTTCGAGGCACAGCCTAGAAGGCTTCCGGTTGTGGTGGCACCGGACGTCTGCGCAACGAAGACGGTGAAGACGGAAGGGCATCTAACCATGAGAACTTGTATCCCAGAGGGTTTCCAGAGCTCTCCGGTGCCGGGAGACCTCCGCAGTAGGACAGGAACGAGTTGATCTTTCCGCCCTCCTTGTGGACCTCTTCGATGGTTTTGACAGCGTCTGATAAGTCAGTTGGTGAGTTGGTCAATTGCGTGGCTCTCGGGTCGGTTCTTACACAAGTGGTCGATGCCGGGGTCTGCGAGTAAAATGAATTGGTTAGCTCCTGCGGCCATATGGGTATCAGCTGGCTCTTGCCCAAGGAAACTCACCGAGACCAATCTCGTTCATGACGGTGATGCCGGCATCCTTGGCAGCCTGGTCGAGCTCAAGCATAGCGGGGGAAACGTAGCTGGTTGTGACAACATGCTTCTTCTGACGGATGGCAGACTTGATAACGCTGGCATGGAATGTGTAGGGGATCAGGCTGATGACCAGGTCGTGCTTTGCGACTTCGTTGTCCAAGGCCTTGTCGTCGGTGACATCGAGCGAGATGGGGTTGGCATTCTTGACACCGGCAGAGAGTGCCTTGGCGGACTCAAGAGTTCTGCAGGCTGTGGAAAGCTCAGTAGGTGGACTTGGGGTTGCCGGTGTGGTCAAAACAAACCAACAGAGACGGAGATGCCAGATTCCGAGAGGATGTCGAGAGTCGGGCGAGTGACGAACCCCGCACCGAGCATCAATACCCTGACAGACAGGCAAGTCAATACAAGGGATGCCGAACGGCAGACGAACGGTGTATTGTCTTACTTTTGAGACGCCATTGCAATTGGTATTCGTGAGAAATAGCGACCTTTCCGAATTGAGAAGTATGGTTGAGAGGGGAAACTGTTGACCAAGAAGCTTTGCAAACAGGTCACAGATGGTGTCGCAGGTGCAAAAAATCTTTGGTGGGCTGTACGGTGCCCCTCCTTTGGCGGGGAAAACTTGGAGTACCTCCGACACCGGCCGCGTTCCGGGGTGACGTTCTAATTAGGGCTTAGTTCGATATCCACGTGCCGGGTCCGACTCGACAAGATACGCTAAAATACTCGGTAGAGCAGTGAAGCATCAGTAAAGTCGATTGCCAACGCTGGCTGGCCAAGGTGGATACATACACTGTCCCGCATCAATGGGTCCACGATAAGGTACCTTATCGGTCAGATGGAATGGATCCACCTCCCCAGACGGGGCCCCCTGTTAATGTCACGTGCATCCCACTCCAAGGACACTACGACAATGTCAGAAGTCAAGATGCAGTAAGACAATAAGGATAGTCCCATCAAAGAAAATCATCCGAGTAAGCCCTTAGTGTCTATTTTGTTGGAATATTCCAGCCCCATGAACAACAATGAAAATGTCACAATCTTTCCTCGCACAATGAAAAGCCAGCACCGTAGCTGTACTTGATAGAAATGCTGTCGGGCATCTAGCCCGAAACAACCACCTCAATAAATAGACGAAAGAGGTCATAGGTTGGTCGCTGGTTTTTGAGCTATTATGTACAACAGACATCGGCTTCCCTAGCTATGGTTATCACTGTCAAGGTTCTTCAATCCGGCTATTGGTTTTGGACATGACGTTATTCACTCCTCCTTAGAATCTTCCCTGTCATAAAGTTTCCAGTCGCTGAAAGCTTTGATGTGAAACGAGACGATTCGAAGTATCGTTTTTTGAGTATCTAATATCATCGTTTCAGCACAATGTTCTTCCTCCAAAGCTTCATGGTCTGGGTTGAGTAACGTGCTATTATCCATCATCTGAGAACGTCTGAGTTGCATCCTGAAATCGAATACATTATCTCAGTCGCTTCGTTGGCTTATTGACTTTATCGCAACAATATATTCTGAAGAACAAGGAAGAACAAGGCCTTGGTTTCCATTCTTCCCAATCATGGCTGAGCTGGGCTTTTGTTCTATCCCCAAAAGTTCCAAAGAACATTATCATTAATTCAGTGCGGCCTAGTAATGGTGATTGAACAGGCTAGCCGGATCCTCCATATTCTGGATACAGGCAGGCTTGATCTCGAACGCTGCAATGAGAATGCTAGTCTTCTGCGCCTGCTAAATTTCTCCCTGCGCTTGTTGCAAGGTTCACTGCCTCTCGTTCTTTCCTCACCACCTCCGTATAAATTCTATCTTACATGACCTCACGTCACCCCGCCTCAACCCAACTTGCGCAGCAAAACTTCTCAAAAACAACTGCCCAAAGACCTTGGTCCTTTCAACGAAGCTTCTCAAAAACAACAGTCTAAATACCTTCGTCTTGCGCGAAGCTATTTCCAGATAACAGCACAGGTCAAAAGGTTGACTGTAATCTACGCAAGGTACCTAAACTTGAGATGCTACTTCTCCCCTTCCCTTATTCATCAACTAAGTTCAGTCAATGATAAAAAGGACTCTTCTATATATGCCACCGTTCAATATTCGCAAACACCATTTTCCGCTCAACCCCTTCTGGAAGCTTTGAACCCAACATTTTGCGTCACACTTCACCATGTCTCGTCATCGCAAAGCTGCCAAGTCCTCCTCTGCCTCCTCCCTTGCGCCCCAGACTCGTGTCCGCAAGAAGGCTAGCCCTGGAACCGAAGCAGGTGCAAAGTGTGAAGTTTCTGTTCCGCCAGATGTCAAGGAGGAGTTCAAGGCAACCGAGCAGTCTGAAAAGACGACCAAGAGGAAGGTCGCACTCAAACCCACAATCTCACCTCCAGCAAAGCGTCAGAAGACAACCGTTATCAAGCCGACCGAGAATGATACCAAGACCATTGCCACCAATCCAATCACTCCCAAGAAGCCAGGAGCAATTCCACAAGAGTCCTTCAAGCCCCAATTCCGCACCTTTCCCGAAACTCCGAAGACGCCTAGCAAGGTCAAAGACGGCGCGATGGACAAGATGGATGAGTCTGACTCCGATCCTGAGCCCCGGTCTATGGCTGTCCATAGCAGCAGTTCTCGACGACTCAAGACTGAGATTGCCAAACTCAAGTCTCAGATTAAGAAACCCAAAGAATTGGCGTCCAGTATTTTCACCAGCGCGGTCCACAAAGACAACGATGAGAAGAAAAACAAATGTGGTCTAGACAATTCCACAATCAGCCAGGTCTCTGAGGGCCACATTCTTGTTTCTGAAGCAGATTACTCAATCCTGATGCGCCGCACAGTTACCGTCAACAAAATGGTCCTTACTTTCATAGAGTCTGCTAGCGATGTTGAAGACTCAAACATTGACAAAAACCCTGCTCTGACCTACCTTTTGGCTGAAGCCCATTCTCTGTCCTTTGGCGTTCAGTCTCTCACTAAAGCAATCACCCAACTGCCTGTCACAGAGAAAAACAGTGGTGCGGATATCAAGAAGGCTGTTGAGCACACTGAAGGTGCTGTTGTCTCTGAGCAGCTTCTAGCCGGGAAGCTTAGAGATGGCGAAGAGGACACTGGCACAGACCTGCCTACTCCCACCAAGAGAGTTGTCATTAAAGTCAGCAAATAGGTTTGATTCTGAAGGGGGGTTTGGCATTGAATAAAGCTCGTTTTATTGGCTGGGAATTTGGCACCCAGAAGTTTTAGGAAGGGGACATACTTAGAGAGCTTTTCTTTTGCACGCGAAAGCGCTAGAATAGTCATTCAGGAGACCAAACATGGAGATAACTAGCAATAGTGTGTTAATCTGCATCTGAATAATAGACTGCATATGTGCTATGATTGCTCTTCATCCAGAGTCAAGATATTTGGAGCAAACGTCGGAGGCTCGCCACTCTCACTCTCTCGTTAGTGGCCTATTACCGGAATTTTCCTTTCTTCTGGCTTATGCTGTGTGGCAACAATACCAATGTGTTATCACGCCAAGAGAACATTTCAGGTAAGGCCTCGGAGAGTTATGGGCAATACATGGGATTCCATGCCTGCCACATCCTTCATGACAAAACATGCAAACGTGGGAAACCCACACCTCAGATTCCGGGGCTTCCGGGGCTTACGATGGCGCTGAAATTTGAATTTGAAGAGCATGTTGTCAATAAGATTGTCGCCAGTGTGTGACAGCCCGGGGGTACGACGTGGCTGCTGACATGAATCACCAGAATGGATATGGGCACAATCTCTCTGTGAAATAGACTCAGTCACCTTTGTAGTATTGCAAAATAATCATGCAAATAACTACAGCCACTTGCGCTCGACATTTCTTATCATTCTGATCTTGATTGCAGGACCTTGAGGAAACACTTACGGAACTGCGTTATTCTCTTCATTCACAAGCGCGACAGCACCAAAAATCCCTAAAACGACGGTGCCTCTTCTAGCCTAGGTTTTACGAAACGATGTAGCATATATCAGAAAGTACAATCCATATTAAAGTTAAGATTACCTCGGTCAATGTTTGCGCTAGCCAACATCCAGATAGCTGGAGGTTTTCGGAGTAACGTGTATGGCCTATCAGAATCTTTATACCGATTTCGTCAGAAATCACACAGACCAGAGATGTCTTAAGCGCCGCTAAGCTCATACCCACTGATTGTGTTACGTGTACCACAAAACTGGGACATGTGAGTGTGTGCTACGCCATTCTGACGTTGATCCGTTATGAACCAACTAATTTGTCGTTCCTTTCATCAATGTACGTTAGCTCTCACTCTTGGCGAAGGTAGTGTTGGCAGACTCTAGTGTGCTAGGGTAGTAAGCTGACCGCAGATCATGGACCATGGTTCACTCTGAGTGATACATATATCCGTCGCAGGCGACACTACGGACAAGCTTGGCGGTTTTGGGTTTACCGGCTCAACTCCCGATCACGAATTTATAGGTAGGCCTACATCAAGACAGAGATCTCCCATCAAAGACATTATTGCTACTCCAAAGTAATCTTGGGACTTCCATATCCTCTTCTCTCAAACTTACCTATCGGCCCTCGCAATGGAGAACTTCTCGTTGCTTGTCGGTTTCGGCACCAGCCTGGTGTTCATTTTCGCCATCGGCAAGCTATTCCAAGCAAGGCAGAACGCTAGCCGCCTTCCCTTGCCACCCGGCCCAAAAGGTCTCCCTCTTGTTGGGAATCTACGGGATATGCCTCCTCGGAACACATTCGCGGCTTACCATTGGGCCAAGCACAAAGACTTGTACGGTATGAATAGCAAAGACTGCTCATCTAGCAGAGATGCCGAAGTTTCGAATACCCTAGATTTAAACTGAGTGATACTTCTTATGACAGGTCCCATCAGTTGCCTCAGCATACTAGGCGACACAATCATCGTCATCAACGACGCTCAGATTGCGTTTGAACTCTTTGAAAAGCAGTCTTTGAAGTTCTCCGGACGACCGTCACTGGAATTTGCCACAATGTACGTGCGGGGAGGTATCCTATAGAGTGACAAAGTCATCTTCATTCTCTTTCTCTGCAACACAGCTCTACGTAGCGGTTCTTCTAACACCGGCCAGGGTCGGATTCGGGCAAAGCACCGGTGGGCTGCCATACAACGAGACACTGCGCGCCCATCGAAAACAGTTTGCCCGAATCATTGGTACGCAAGCGTCAGTAAGCCAGTTCGACAAGCTGCAAGAGACCGAAGTAGCCCACTTTCTCCTTCACTTGTTGGATGACCCGGAGAACTTGGAGAATCACATCGCAAAGTCAGTCGATGCAATTTCTATCGGGGGAGTCCGTTGATTACTACGATGCTAATAAGCAAGTTTCACCAGGGAGGTTGGTTCCGTCATCCTCCATATTGTCTACGGCTACAGCGCCGAGAATTTCAAGAAGGATCCTCTTATCTCTGTGATAAATAGAGTGATGGAGCAATTTGCCCGGGCAGCAGTGCCTGGAGCCCATCTAGTTGATGTTCTCCCCATATGTAAGTTGTTTCTATGCTTTTTCTTTCTTTTCCCTCCAAACTATAGCCTGAGATTTTCTGACGCCTGACAGTACGATATGTGCCATCGTGGTTTCCTGGAACAGGCTGGAAGAAAGAGGTAGAGTTATACGCCAACGAACTTGACGAATCAGTTGAGAGGCCCTATGCCTTCGTCGAGCACCAAATGACGCAGGGCCACAGCAACGAGTCCTTTCTCGCGCGTCTGATGGACCATGGAAAAGATACGAGCGAGGATAAATATATCAACAAATGGGTAGCCGCATCCATATATCAAGGTGGATCGGATACTGTAAGTCCAAAACATACATATGTTTTGCTGATGGGCAGCGCGCTGTGGCAGCGAAAGTTAACATTTTATAGACTGTCGCAGCCATCTATGGCTTCTATCTGGCCATGACACTCTATCCGGATGTGCAGAAAACAGCACAAGAGGAGATCGACCGAGTAGTGGGCAGCGAGAGATTGCCTACTATGGATGACCGCAACAGTCTACCGTATGTTGATGCTCTTGTGAAAGAGATCATCCGATGGTGGCCAGTTGGTCCCATGGGCCTCCCTCACCTGAACACAGAAGAAGTGGCTTATCGGGGTTACCGCATCCCCAAAAAGTCAATCCTGATGCCTAACATCTGGTGAGAAATCTCCTAGACCTTACGTCACCCGGCCAGTGTTTCTCAGAAGTCCATCGATACTGATATTTGTGCACGTATCTAGGTGGTTTACTCACGACCCTGCCGTATACAAGAATCCCATGGAGTTCTCGCCCGAAAGGTTCCTGGAAGGCCAGGGTCGCGAGCCGGAGTATGACCCGCGCAAGTTGTCGTTCGGGTTCGGTCGACGCATCTGCCCAGGAAAAGCCCTTGCTGAAAGCACGTTGTTCCTCAGCATTGCTCAGTCGCTGGCTGTGTTCGACGTTGCCAAGAAGATCGTCGACGGCAAAGTTATCCTGCCGAAGGTCGACCCCAGACCCGGTGTCATCAGCCACCCGGCTCACTTTGAAACGTCGGTCAAGCCCAGATCCCAGCATCACGAGGAGTTGATTCGCTCGCTTGAGCAAAAGTTTCCCTGGAAAGAATCGGATGCGAGGGTGCTGGAGAGAATGGAGTCATGACTAGAAGTTGGCGTCTCAACTTCAATGCTTGTAATCTTCTCACCACCCTTATTTCGTCCATTGGTCAAGTAGGTGGTACTAGACTCTTCTGAGGGTACGTGACGTGAGTCTCACAGGTGTCTTTTTGAAGGAATAGATGCTTCTTGCCACCCTCTGGAATCTAGTGGATATCTCCACACGCAGTCTCTGTCTGCCCACTTTACACAGCTAGGTAGCTTCTATGCAGCTTCAAAAAGTGTCATTGTGGAGTCCCTAGCAAATGCGAAATTTGAATCAGTAAAATAACAGCCGAAAGGCTTCAAACCTTACGCTATTCAAGTCACCGAGTACTTTGGTGCCAAGAACCTTTTCACGGGAGAAAGAGATATGCTGAGTTGCGACGGAGAAAGCAATGTTTGCCGCCTGCTGATGTGAGACAAGCGCTTAGATTGCGACCAATTGGGTCCCTTTATTCGGTGAAGTGACCTGATTGGATTGGGCTGCCAAGCTGATGTGGATTGTAATCTCAACATTGCATGACGTTTTGCTTCAATCCTTTGCAACACTCGCTCATCATGTGGCTTATCGACACTCAGACCCTCAAGCTCGTCGAGGTGCAAGGCGACCCTCAACGGCACAGCTATGCCATATTGTCACATACGTGGGGCGGCGATGAAGTAACCTTCCAGAGCTTCAAAACTATGAGCACAGCCTCAGATGGAATCAAGAGCCCGGATGGGACCAAAGGCGGGTTGAAAAAGATACGGGATGCAGCCGGCCTGGCCAGAAGCCACGGATACGGCTATATCTGGGCCGACACCTGCTGTATCGATAAGACAAGCAGCGCCGAGCTCTCGGAATCCATCAACTCCATGTACCGCTGGTACCAAAAGGCGGCCGTGTGCTACGCCTATCTATCCGACGTAGTGGATGCGGAAGACCCGTTTTTGGAGAATTCGAGCTTCCGGCGCAGCCGTTGGTTCACGAGAGGATGGACCTTGCAGGAGCTCATCGCGCCCAAGACTGTCGAGTTCTACGCTTGCAACTGGTCTTACATAGGCAGAAAAAGTTCCGAAAGCTCGTTATGCGAGCTTGTTGCCAAGATCACAGGGATCCATCTGCAGGTCCTCGTGGGCACAACTTCGTTGGCTGACGTCAGCGTTGCCAACAAGATGCGCTGGGCCGCGCAACGGCAGACGACGAGACCAGAAGATATCGCGTACTGCATGATAGGTCTGTTCAATGTCAACATGCCTCTGCTCTACGGAGAAGGCGAGCGTTCTTTCATTCGTCTACAGGAGGAAATTCTCAAAGAGATAGACGACCAGTCCTTATTCCTATGGGGGTTGTCGCCGGACGAAACCACTAATTCGGACGACCTCTTTGGCCTCTTTGCCAAATCGCCAAAGTCATTCTCTCAAGTGGAATTTGGCCATGTACGGCCGCTTCCCCCTTCGGAATCTCATGAGAGCTCACCCGCAAGCGTCACCAATCAAGGTCTGAGGACGAACATGCTTTTGATTCCAGTACGGCCCGAAACTGATGAGTACTATGCGGTACTTGACTGTCTCGTTTTAGATTCTGCGTCCTATGGCACGGACTTAAGCCCTCGTATTATCCTACGGCGGCTTTGGAGTGATCAGTTCGCCCGGGTCAACTCAAAAGAAGGCTCGGTCATCTTGCTTTCCCAAGAACAGCCTGATGAAGCCGGGGGGTCCTACGAAAGCATCTATGTCAGGCAGAAGCCGTTTTACGCACTTCCAGAGATCAGAGTCAGGAGTAAATACCCAACAACGGTGGGGTCAAAGGATGATGGACGCGTCCCATTCTTCATCAACGGTGCATGCCCTCCTGAAAGATGGGATGCCACTTTATCGGTAATACGGACGAAAGAGCCACAGTCGGGCCGTACAATCGCTGTGTTGCGGTTTGAGTCGAATGAGCCTGGCTACGCTTCTATATTTAACATGGCGATCGGGCTTCGTCGGGTGAAGGGACGGTGGGAAGTGTGTCACGAAAAGCACCCGCATGCTGGAGACAGCCTCGAGTCTGTATATGTGAAAACCCCTTACATTTCCGCCGGATCCCAAGCGGCTTCCTACGAAGCGTCCAAGGAGCTTGGGTACATCACCATCGACACAACAGAGTACCAGCGCCGGGGCCGTCGCTTCGTTCTCCTAGAGGTTTCTTCAAGGTCTGAACTCAACATCGATGTCGGCGGGGATTTGGCCGTGCAAACGAACTTCTCACAGCTGGCGAAGAATCTCGTCCCACCATTCGACGAAATCGCGGCAGCCACGCGGCAGTGTTGTTACGAGGAGACGTTCTCGGACATCCTGTCCCCTGTTGGAAAGACCCGAGACGGAGTCAGGACCCGATTCTCTGGAAATATTGCGACCCGTTTTGGCACCGAGATCCATACCGTGAAGATCGAGCGGAACCGGCCCTACGCTGCGTTGCTGAACGCCATCCGAGCGAGAGATGACCGGACCGTCCAGAATCTGGCAAAGAAAAACAAGACCATCCTTGAGGTGGAAACAGAAGAGTTCGACAAGTTCCGCGCCGTTCACTGGGCTGCGACGTTCGGTTCCCAGTCAATGGTGAAAACACTAACGAGGCTTGGCGTCGACACTACCAGTCGAACCGCAAGCGGCTTCATGGCAGTTCACCTCGCGGTTCTCAACGGACACTTCAACCTCGCTGCCTACATGCTGGAAGAAGAAAGGGAATTGTATCTGAACAGAATAGGGGCAGCTTCGAGCATGGTCGGATTGCCAGGGGAGCCGGATCCAACGTGGTCTGAAACCTCGGAGAACGCAGATATTTTTCACAAGTTCACCACCGCGAAGTTGGACACTATACTGCACCTGTTATCTGCCTATATCCCTTGGGGCTGGGCTAGTCAGAGATTCCGACGGCTCATCGAGCACATCAAAGATTACTCCTTCGGTTCCCAGTCTTTCCCGCATATCAACTGTCTGGGCGAGCTTCCCATCCACCGAGCAGCTGCGACAGGGAGTGTACAGGCACTCGAAGCCCTGGTAAGCCTGACCGATACGAGCCGCCATATCAATGCCCGAGACGATGCCGGACGGTCGGTCTTGTTCCATGCTGCATGCGGGGGCCACGTGGAAGTCGTTTCCAAGCTAGTCAGCCTAGGTGCCATGCTGGACGTTGGCGACGACTACGGCCGCAGCCCGCTGCACGCCGCTGTCATGGCTGATAAAGCGAACGCGGTAAAAACTTTGCTTGAATTGGGTGCAGCGGCGAATAACGTTACCCACGCACTCGGGTTGACACCTCTGCACTTCGCCTGTCTGTACGGGTCTTTGGGTTGCGTGATTGAGCTGGTCAAAGAACATGATTCAGGGTCAGCAGACGTGAACCGCTGGACAGCAGACGACTGGGTCTTGTTCCAACCGTTGCACCTCGCAGTCGCGAACGGGTTCTTACAGGCCGTCTCACAACTTCTTGAGGCCGGCTGCGAGTCCGAAAGCCGGTGTAATGGGTACCTCTGGCTTACGACCGACGATGCCGGCGGGGCATACGTTGGAAGATTGGTCAAGTTGGAGGAGCCGAAGACCCCTATGGAACTCGCGCTCTCTTTAAATCTCACAGACATAGGTGCAGAGTTACGCCGATTTCAGAAGGAGACACGATGATAGGTGTGACCTGATAGCTTCATGAATAACTGGCACTTGGTATTTACCCCTTATTGTGATTATAGTATATAGGTGTAGTTGTAGCAATGGCAACTGTGGGTCCAATCTTTAGACGTCAACAGGTTTGAGATGATTGACTACGCCGACTCCAGGAGACAGAAGTCATTCGATGATCTTCTCATTCCACCAAAGGTTAAAAGTCTTCTGAAGGCAATGGTCAAGAAGCACGGGCCTGTCCCTCAGGTTGTCGACAAAAAGGAGGAAAAGGCTCTAAATGAGATCGACCTGGTAAAGGGGAAAGAAAATGGTGCCGTAATTTTCTTGTACGGACCACGGGGTGTGGGAAAGGTACCGCAACTAAGCGAACGAAAGAGGAGTACCGGTGAGTCTTAACCCGATGTGTAGACCAGCACGGCCGAAACAATTGCAGCATACAGCAATCTATCTCGACCGCTATACGCCATTGTACGTAATATTAAGCAGTCTGTGATTGTCTGGAAACCTTGCTGACCACGAACTAGACGTGTGGTGATCTGGGTTCTGACGCCGTGTCAATCCGAAGGAATCTAGATAAGCACTTCAAGCTCGCCCATCGGTGGAATTGTGTCCTACTTCTTGACGAGGCCGACGTGTACCTAGCGGAACGTAACATCAACGATCTGGACCGCAATGGGATTGTGTCAGGTTCGTAAAGCCCGTATGCCTTTTCATAATGAAAGTCCCCCTTCTGACAACAATACACCCAGTGTTCCTGCGCCATCTCGAATACTACGCCGGCGTTCTTTTCCTGACCTCAAATCGGGAGGGCCTGATTGATGAAGCGTTCAAGTCGCGGATTCACGTTGCGCTAAGGTACATGATGATGATGATGATGATGATGATATTTAACGCCCCTCAGGTCTATCTGCGTAGCACAAGGCGCCTGCTCAGCCTATCTGCTATTTACTAGCCTAGGATCCCTCTGCAAAGGGGTTCTAGGCAAAACAACGTCCCTCTTTCATAGTGTGAATCCCTTATCTTAAGTGCGTAAATTAGTATTTCCCTCCTGTAGTTATGCTAGAAGTTCCTTAGACTAGGTAATTACTGTGTAAGGGGGAGGGGCATGTTAGTAGTAGTAATAGGGAGGTAGGGGTTCTAGTGTTAAGGGGTAAGTAGGTAGCAGAGGGCAAGTGTGCTCCTTGCTAGGGTGTATATAAAGGAGGTAAGATTAAGGCAGAGGTAAAATACAAAAGGAGGAGCCTAGCTAGCTAACATTTAGGGGTAACCTACAGAGGTGCTAAATTAAATACTAGGGCGTTCTAGCTAGATTAATGTAGCTAAGCCTAGCTATAGGGTGTCCCTGCGCTGTAGGTCCTCTCCTTGCGGAGTTAACTATAGGCAGTAGCCTATGGTGTTGTCTACTAGGGGCCAGGCGTATATATTGCCCCTTTACGGAGTAGGCATTAATTTAATAAGTGCAGACTAGTGCTCTCCAAGCCAACTGTCTATGCTGAACCAGGGGGGGCGGGGCCGGGTGTGCCGGCATCGTAGCGGGTGTTCCGGGCTCAATCGTGAGGGCCTGATTGATGAAGCGTTCAAGTCGCGGATTCACGTTGCGCTGAGGTATAAGTCAATCGATGCTGCTGGGACGAAGTAAATTAGTAGCAACATCCTCCGGAAAATCCAAACGGACAACGACACCAAGGGCATTCGTGTCTCTTTTGATAAAGATGAATTGCTAGAGTGGGCCAAGAGTCACTTTGAAGACGCAATAAATAGAAGAACTAAGCATGGCGACCTGAAATGGACGTCAAATACGCAACGCATTCCAAACGGCCCTCGCCATTGCTTCCTTCGACCGTCTTGCCTATCTCAAGAAAAAGAAAGTCAGTGGGGAAGAAGCTCTGGAGAGGAAAGGAAAGAAATACCGTAACATTGAGCTCACCACGGAACATTTTAATGAGGTTTCAAAGGTAGTTGGAGAGGTTGAGGACTATCGTGAGCCCTACCCATTTTCAAGATCTATAAGCAGTAAAAGATTGCTAATTAGCCACTGGGTATGCCAGAAGAATCTCTCCCTTTCAAAAAGGGGTAATAATGCCATAACCTGTCCATAGACCCGGATAAAAACAAAACACGGGCCCAATGTTTGCTAAGGCAATTTTCTTAGAGTTTGAATCTCCCCTGACTCGTTAATGAGCAACAGCTTGGCCAACTCTACATATATTACTAATAAGCCAATGACGGCGAGGCCATCAGCAGGCCCCCACTACAGGCGCATGAAAATAGAAAATGGCCGACCGATTTGACCAGGATCCCCTTAAGACGTTTTTTACTCGGCCGAGGACGTGGTAAGCAGCCTCTGCACGATTCGGTCTTTAAATATGAGTTCTCCCATGATGCCGGCCGTCGGTTCTCTGCACGTCGGAACGAAGTCTATCACCTGAGATTTACACGACCAGGAACAAAAGCCGAATCAAAATGCTCCTCTCAACTCTACTTACCTCTTTGGTCGCCGCAGGTAGCGCTCGCGCTGCCGTCATGCAAGGGTCTTGGTCCGTTCGCGCCGACTTCTCACGTAGGTGGAAACCTGACACGCCTCCGAAGCTGGCGTGCTGCAGCGTCGGGGGCGGCGGAGTCGTTGAAATCGAGGGGCATGTCTAACGGGTGAACTCCAGGCTGCGACGGCAGATTCCCGCTCGAGGTCGTACTCGATAAACATTCCGATGGCGCATTGGCCGAGTCCATGCCGACCCCCAACATCACCGACTTCCGAATCCCGGTGCCCTTTGAAGGTACTCTGGTGGTCAAGCCGGCCGGGGCGGCAGGCTTGGGCTCGCCTTACCCGCCGCAGCAGGTCACCGTCGAGATTCTCGACCACGCGACGGGAGATCCCGCCATCTGGGCCAACGCCACGGTGAATGCCGGGTTCGGACAGCGCGGTTTAATCGAGCAGATCGGCTGGAGCACAGGAGGCCGCGTCCGGGTTGGGCGCGATGAGGAAAGGGATGTTTCGATCGCGACCACAGTAAACGGAGGCACCCTACTTGTTTACTACGTAAGCTTGATCCCTTGCCGATAAGATTGGATTGCTAAAGGACAATATTCACTAATACTGACGGATTCCAGTGCGGCGCCCCTAATGCAACAGCAACTGCCCTCAGGTGAAATCGAGGGAGTTATACTGGTGATGTGTAACACGAAAAGTAATAGGAGCAGTCAAATTGGGATAAGAAAAACAGAAAAGAAAGAAACGGGTTAGATATGTTTGCCTGGGTCTCGGTCGGGCGTCCTCTGAGCATGGAATGGCTCTACTTACTGTATCGATACCCTGTCTATAGAAAGGGTACAGTCGGAATTACTTTCGTCATGATTAATTCAAATGCGATGTACTTCTACTATTGTTCCCCGATAGGCGTTCTAATGTCATTGGATGTCGAAGCCTGTCAGTTTCGGAAGGTTGGCAAGACGTGACCGCATCGGGTCCGCCCCGTCTGGCCGGGGGTACGTCACGATAGGACCCCGCACCCGACGGCCGATAAGGTATCTTCAACGCCGGAAGCCGTGCGCCCCCTCCGTTTCTCTCCTACTCAGACTCACCAGCGAAGCCAAAACTACGCCGTCACTTCCGCTCGGCACAGACGACAGCTCATCTCAACTGATACCGTAGCTCCCGCTTCCAGAATGGCACCTGGCAGCTTCCACATCCCCTCAACGCACTCGCGCCTGAAATGGTCCCGCGCGACCCCGCCCCAGATCACCATCGCCCCGGGCGACACCGTGACGTTTGACCTCCGCGACTCCTCCGGCGGCCAGGTCACCCCGGCGTCCACGGCGGCCGACCTGGCGGCCCTCGATCTCGCCACCTTCGACCCCATCTTCGGCCCCGTCGCCGTCGCCGGCGCCGTCCCGGGCGACGTCCTCGAGGTCGAATTCCTCTCCCTCGCCACCTCGGGATGGGGCTTCACCGGCATCATCCCCGGCTTCGGCCTCCTCGCCGACGAGTTCCGCGACCACGCGCTCAAGCACTACACCTGGCTCCCCGACGCGACGCACATCGAATTCGCGCCGGGCATTCGGGTCCCCCTCCGCCCCTTCCTGGGGTGGGCCGGCGTCGCCCCGGCCGAGGAGGGCGAGTTCTCCACCATCCCGCCCCTCGAAACCGGCGGCAACATGGACTGCCGGCACATCACTCAGGGCACGAGGCTCTGCCTCCCCGTGCGCGTCCCGGGCGCCATGTTCTCCTGCGGCGACGGCCACGCGGCGCAGGGCGACGGCGAGGTCTGCGGGACGGCCATCGAGACGCCGATCAAGGCGGCGCTGCGCTTCACCATCCGCAGGGACATGCCGTACGTGACGAGCCCGCACTACGACACGCGGGGGTCGGTGCACGGCGGCGCGCAGAGCGATCAGGCCGTGTACGCGGTGCTGGGGATCGGTCCGGATCTACTGGAGGCGAGCAGGAAGGCTCTGAGGTCGTTGATTGCGCATATCGTCGCGACAAGGGGGCTGGGGCGGGAGGATGCGTATATGTTATGCAGTATCGCGGCTGACCTGAAGATTGCGGAAGCCGTCGACATGCCCAACTTTGCTGTGGCCGCAAGTTTGCCGTACTCTGTCTTTCAATAATGACCACGCCTTGAGATTAAACGATTTCCAAGATAGATATACAGCTAAGGGTTTCTGTTTCACATAGTCTTATTCCTCCATCTCCCTCTATGAGACCAATGTAGTTAACCCTGATACTTGGACCGACTTCGTATTCCGCAGTGGGCAAAAGGTGCCTGTAGCAGAGGCATGCGCACCTCATTCTACCAATGACCCCTAACAAGTCAAAGGCTCCAAGTTGAATGCTGTTGCTCATAATGTGTACGACTTTCGCTCCAGGACCCTGACATACTTTGAGGCAGCTGGAGACAAATTAGAAGTTCAAAAGTTGGTCTCGGAAGCTGTTCCATTTCTTGCCGGGGGGACCGATATCGCCGTCATCCATCATAGGCACCAATGTTTCGTTCTAAACGTGCAAGTCGATTGTAACTGACTAAGGCTGCTGCTACAACGGCTAGTCATCCCAGATCAATCCCCGCATTCCAAGTCGACTATTGGCGCATGTCTACGTTTGCCAAACTTCATGGAGCAGTGTTGACAAGGGAACCCGGGCCGAGCTTACGCCAAGGACACACAGACATCCGACCCCACCTGCCAGACGGCACTGTGGTTTCCTAGGTGTTTCCGCGACTTGTGTTGAGGGATGAGATGGTGAAGCTAGCCGAGGGTTGGAATGCTGGGACGGGCGGCCGTTGTCCAGCGAGGTTCCGCCAGGCAGCCAGACATGGGTTTCACCAGTGTGTTTGCAAATCCGCGGTGTAACGCATCTCCTGTCCTGGCTATGGAAAGCATGTTTCAACGGAAAGGGAAATCTGTGAGACAAAAAGGCATTCCAGAGACATGGTGGATGTTGTCGGAAGCGCTTACCTAAGAATAAGATTTCGGGAAGGTGTAAGGCGAGTGCACTTTCCAGATAACGTCTACTATATGCGAGAAGGGAAGGGAAGGTGTCAACTTAAGCGCTAGGTATCCAACCCACCAAAGGTAGACAAGGCGAGTACGTACCTCCCTAGGTATGAAAGCAAAGCACGGCACGAACGAGGCAGTCGCGTTGCGGCGAACGGAGGCAGGTGGGTCCCGGAAGCCCCGCATCGGAGCTCGTGCCGCACCTGGGCCGATGTCTACCCCGCGTGTTAACCACAGCATCAACGGGCCCATCGGGGGGAGGGCAGTTCCAAGACCCTTGGTTGAGTGGTATAGGTACAAACCGGAATCCTGATAGACAGCTAGGTAGGGAGGCAAATCTAGATGCCGACGCGCGGAACGCTTCTGCATGAAGGAAGGCAATCATGCAATTTGGCCGGAGATTTGTTCCCTCGCTTGAGGCAGGTGCGGAGGAGGGGCCTGGCTTGTACGGAGTACGAGGTACCTGTACTCCGTACGGATACTCCGCACTCCTACCACAAGGGCCCATCGACCTGGCTGGACCGGAAATGGACAATGGTCTGAGCGGATAGTGTGGACCTGGCAGCGCAGCAGCGTCGGTGGACACTCCCTGAGGCCGGCTTACTAGGCCCGCCAGCCGAGGACCCGCGCCGCCTATTTTGGCGCGGCCGATAAGGACACGTGGAGCGCGATAAGACATGGAGTGGGGGGCCCTCGTTTAATTTTGTTTAATCTCGAGCATTCTGCCGCTTCTTTTTTTTCCTGCCATTCCTTGCTTACTCGACCCCGCTTCTCCTCCACGTACTACACATTCCCGTCTGGTCTTGTCTTGTTTTGTCTTGTCTTGATTGTGGCGCCCGTTTCCCACACCTTGACGCCAACTGCACCATTTTTCTTTTCTTTTTTTCCCACCAAGCATCTTTGTTCCTGACGCCGAAACGGTTGTGTAACCGCAATTAAATCTCTAACCCGCACCATCTCAGCTCTGCCCGCCTCCAATATCAATACCTACCAATACCTACCAATACCACCAACACCAACAAACAACACCTTCAGCCATCAACCACGACAAAGACGCCTAGTCCCAGCCCCCCCCCGTCCGTCCCTTTCAGTCCTGTCCTCGTGGCCTTGTCACGCCTGCAGTTCTTCGACGCCGTCACACCGCAACTACTGCGCCTATCCGCCCCCCCCTCCCCAACACGCCACTACTGCAACCTGTCTGCCCAGTTCTGCAACCAAGGCGCATTCAGCTCAAGCATTTTTCCCACCCTAGAATACGTGTCCAAGGATCCTTTTTTGCCTCTTCGCCTCTTCTCAGGTGTCACCGCTGACGCCAACATACCACGACCCCCGCCGCCACTCAACCCCCCCAAAACAAGCTTCCTTCGCCATGTTCGCCCTTCTCCAGACCCTGCTCGACTTTAACAGTCATGTCACCCTCTTCCAGCGCATGATGTTCTTGGTCACCTTTTGCTTCTCCGGAATCATTCTCGCGGTTCAGGCATCCCAATTTGGAGAGGACGACCGCCGACGCATTCAGTGGACGCGCTTGACGGACCAGACCCGGTGAGTTTCCTTTTCTTTCTTTTTTCCCCTTTCTTGTCTTTCTTGTCCTTTCCTTTCCTCTCCTTAGCTTTTCCCCCATTCGCCCCACGGATCCCCTTGCTTGGAGCACTCTAGGCGTCATCCAAACATTCAAACCTCGTCTGAACCCTCCCCGCCCCTATTGATCGACATCGTGTCCAACCATCCTATCCCTTCACCGTCGTTTCCTTGCTTCCCTCTGCATTCAAACCCCGGCGCCCACCGTTTCAACCCGCATTACATCAGACCCCGTTCTGAAGCGCAAGTGCGTAGCCTTCGACCGGCCACTCTTAGCGCCCATGGTTCTGCCATGCGCTCAGTGTTTAGTGGGGCCCCGGCAATTTACTCTTCTCTTATTTTTGGGGCCAGATCCATGCGAGCGTTGGACGGCTGGAAAAACTGCAAATTTAATCCAACGGGGGACAAAGCGCAAGCCCGCGCCCGCGCCCCCGTTGTATAAGACCGGTGCCTCGGCCGGCTCTTTTCCCATCATCTGCAGTTTGTACTAACGTGGTCTCTCCCTCTTCCTCCTCTAGCCCTTACTGGTACACGTTCTACGTCACCCAAGTCTTCCTCTTCGTCTCCGGCGCCTACCCTATGCTCCACGACAAGATGACCATGTACATTGGCAGCGGCTACGAGGAGCAGATTCTGAACATCATCTGGGTCGGCCTCTTGAGCGTCGAAGCCCTCATGGTCGCCGGTGTCGCTGGCATTGCCATCACCCGCAAGTTCAAGGGCGTCCCCAAGCAGAAGACCAACTAGCGCCACCTTCTCTCGCCTGTCTATATATTGTCGGCCATTTATTATACCCCCATCTGTTGTTTATACCCAAGGCCCTCTGTTTGCCAACGCCTAGCACTGTACCGCATACCTGGGCACATCATGCCAGCATATATTGCATATATGGAGTTGGGGGCTGTTATGAATATACCTCTTTGTAATGAACGCTCGCCATTTGAGTGTGCCCTGTCTGAGTGACCGGCCTTCATCCTCAGCAACAAGCGACAAACAGCAAACGTACGACGCCATGACACCATCGACGATACCCCGACATTACCGGCATGAAAACGCGGAAAATGCGCGCCGGCACGAGAACAGTCAACAGGATTCGAACCCGCCGCCTTGGAGTTGAGAGGATGCACCTAGGACTCGCTTCAGAACCCGCCGCATTGGAATTGAGAGGATGCACCTAGGACTCGCTCCACGGCCTAATCGAGCCTGTGTGGGCGGTCGCACACCGCCGCCTCCGGGGCTGCGGACGTGGACGGACAATGAGACGATTGTGTGAAAAAGGACAAAACACCACGCGATCAACATCACGCGACTATGAGATGGTGCTAAGGACGCATGGAATCTTCGGGAAGAAATCACCCATCCCGCTGGATGAATAACCCCTCTAAGGGTGCAACACGAATGTCGCACCGGTTGATGCAGATATCTTGGACGCGCTATGCTTAGCCACGCGGAGCAGACAGCATTCTTCTAGATAAAGAGACCCAGCAATCACCGTGATTGACGGCGGCTAGCAGATTCCGGTGCGAAACAGGCGGGACGATCGTGGGGAGGATGGGCTCATCACGAGGAAGTCATGTGGCGGGATTTTTCTCTGCCAGAGCCGAGGCTTGCTGTGAGACAGCGCCTGCGCGCTCTCGTCAGCGGAACATCTCGGTTCAGTCTACTGTACATAGCGCATTTACGCGGTTCAAATTCCCAAAAGTCTCAAATTCCCAAAAGTCAGCCTACTCACACGTTTGTTTCCGCCACCCCCCAAACTCTTACCTGTGCAGCCGTATCTCCCAGACACCCGTCACTATGTCTTGCTCCCCCGTGAACAGGAACACCATCCTTATCCCTGCTCTGCATGACTGATAGCAGATATGCTATGATCGGCTCCTTCATGCCACCCCCCTGGCACCCTCGACCCGCTCCGCCAGCTCCGCCTCGCCTCCGTGTGCCCCTCCCCGGAACCGTCCCGGCCGTCGCCGCCGCCGCCACCGCTAAGGCCACCGATAATTTCCCTAGAACACCTCGCCCGACGTCCATGCTCGGCGGACTAATCCGGCCAGTCACGTCGGCGTACGGGTTCCATCGGAAGCGGCCGGAAGTCACCCACAGCACGTTGGCGAGCATGAGAGAACAGCCCCTGGAGCGTTTACAGCGTGCCACGGTTAGATAATCAGCATACGCTAATACAGCGACGAGAGGAGGGCCTTGGGTCATGTCCGCGGCCTTTCTGCCAATTGCCGAGCTGGCATTGCTTCTAGAAACTGCCGAAGATTGCTAACAAGCCCGTCGGCGCTGCTGAAACGCGAGTAGCGGACGATCCAGTCTCACTCCGCGAGGCTGACACCGGGCCGCAAACGACCTATAGCAAACCCCCGGTCACCGTTTAATGCAGACCGCCCTTGAGGAACATTACCACTTGGAGGACCTCCACTAAGATACTGAACCCCCTAGAGCTTTCAGAGATAACTCCCCTAGTGGATATACCTAGTGCCTGTTGCTGTGGCTGTATTACTGTTCGTTCTTCACCTCATAATCAAAACAAAAAAACAACACTCCAAGACAAAATGTCCCATCCCGAGAATCTCTTGGATAATTACGGCCCTAGCCGTGCTTATAGCCCTATCCAAGCGAGCCAAACAGAGCTGCCAAAGCTCGGAAACGTAATCAAGGACTTCGTCTCCATGAGCGAGGATATATTAGAGAAGCTCCACCAGTCCCGTTTAGAACACTTTCTTTGTGCGCTTTTTGAATCATGCACTTGCGTTATCTATCCAAGCCTTCATTGAGGCGCCAGCCGCGGTTTTCCCGCTATGGAGAGTGAGCAAAGCCTCTGGTATACATCATGATGTCCGTCTCACGTTACCGTTACATCGAGATGTTTTACAAATTCGTTATCATTTCTCTGCGATCGCATACTCAACCACAAGACGTCTAACACACTACAACTCGGAACCGTTCGGTCTATATATACGGTTAATTAGAGGCCTTCTTGCCTTCTTCGACAAGTACCTCTCTCTCGTGGGCAACATACGACTTCGTGGTATTTCCCCCCCTACAGATGTCGATGTTGAATCTTCAGGGTTGGTCGATGGTCATGTCACGACAACCTCACGGGACAAAATTCCTGACAACCAAGGGAACGAACCACTTCAGATCATTGCCTTCGAGTCTCACAACCTTTTAAAGGCAACTGTTATGCCTTCCATCTCCGTTTCCAAAGTCCCATCCTCCCCGTCTTCGGTCAGAAGCCACCGACTGAGCTGAATGATGCCAACGGATCATATGCCGGAGCGCCTCCTGCGAGATTGAATACTTTGGACCGCTCGGCGTCCAACCCGGCCCCCAAGATCCCTGCGACCTGCCGAGAAATGCTCGACTTTCGACCCAGGTACCACAGGGCCTTGACACAGTCTTCGCATCTGCCGAGCATCTCCAGGCGCGAGCTGTACTTGGAAAGGCCCGCGTTGCCGGCCTCGGCCGCGTCGTCGAGGAACGATTTGCCGGCCGTCGCGAAGGATCTGATCAAGACCATCGTCCAAGGCTCGGTCAGCAGGGCGCCCTCGTTCACCGCCGGGTGATAGCTCGCCAGTCTCCCCATGTCGTCGTCCCGGGGCGTCGAAGCCCTTGCGAGGTCGGACACCGCCCACATGCCCGTCTGCCGGAGTTGGTCAACCGCCCCGGTCTCGGCTCGCTCCTCGGCTCGCGGAGGCGAACTCAGGCGCCGCTCGTCCAGGAGTTTGATGCAGTCCGCCATTATCATGACGGCGAGCAGCCAGTGTCCAAGGAGAGGCACGTACCAGCTCTGGATCTTTGGCGGCAGCGTGTTGTGGTTCTGGAGACAGTCCTGGAACATTGGCCTGTAAGTCACGTCCCAGTAGCGGTAGACCGCCAGGCCTTCTTGGATGGCATCCTCGACCGCGCTCTGACTGGCCCCTCGAGACGAGAGGCTCTGTATCCGCGTGATCTTCCGGAACAAGAGAACCTTGACGGGCGCCGCGTCGATGAGCTCCTTCGAGATAGCTTCTTCGGAGCAGGGCAGTCGTAACGGGGCCAAATTCGGATCTCTCTTGATGATGTTCCGGTCGTTCCACCGTTCATCGTCCGATATCGAAGAGAAGTATTCGTGTCCGCGCGCCACGGCCAGCTGCATGCCGCTTTCTTTGCTGTCTTCGTCCGATACCGTGGGCGGCCTCTCCGCGATGGCGGCCGAGAGCGTGTCGAACATGATGGCCATCCAGTAGACCATTTTCATGGTCGCTTTCTCTTCCGTGTTTTCATCCTCCCCGGCCGGCTGCTCTTCTCCGGGTTTCTGCTTTTTCCTCTCGAAACTTTCGCACTGATATTTGAGGACATGGACCCTTCTGGCGGCGCGTTCGAGGTAGATTGAGTACCCGTCTTCGTCCAAAACCCTCTGGACCCTGCTTGCCGTGAAGGACCCCTCACCCCCCATCTCTTCGCTCTGGCCCGGCATGGACTGATCGAGTTCATATTCGTCCCATTCCGACTCTTTGGTGTGCTTCTGGGTGAGGCCGAAGATCAGTTCCGCCAGAGCAACCTTGAATGAGCCGATCCCAGCACAGTCGTCCAGGCACCTCCTGGCCTGGTGCCAGAACGACACCTGAAGCGTCGTGTCAAACTCCTCCCCAAGATCACTCGAAAAGACGTCTTCGCCGAACACTTTTCGCTGCTGGTATCGCTCTTGGCTCCTCTGGCTTCCCTGTGCCCACTGTGCGGTGAAGGCCATAATCGCGAGGTGAAGCGCCTTTGTAGCCTTTTTATCCTCCAGACTACTCAACGGTTTAATCCCAAGGGACCCGAGAGACTTATCGAGCTTGACGACGCGTTTGAAGATCCTGTTTGGTAGGTTCGGCGGCGCTGAAGCGGATCCATATGACGGAGTGTCTGTCAGACTCGGGGTCTGTTTCGCGACCTTGGCCAGGGGCAGGTAAGGACAATTCTGCTCGGTCAACCAGCATGATAACGCGCCTTCCATAACATCATGGTAAAGCCGCATGAGGTTATCTGTCATGAAGCCGTGGTTTGTTCGGGCGATCATCCTTTGCGCAGGCGAAAAGTCGGAGATTCCGGAGTACGCAGAGGTGGGAGACTTTTGCGAGCGCCAAGACCGTTTTCGTGTCTTCACGATGTCTAAGGTAGCAGCTGGACTGAGGCCCGATATCGAGGTGGTGCTGTTGGAAGAAGAACTCTCGGCCTGATCCAGGTCGAACATGTCTGAAAAACTGCTGACTGATGCTGACGAGGACGGGAATATCAACGACGAGCTATCGAACGACAAGTCACTAGGAGACGACGAAAAGAAGTTCGGGGATAGTTGAGAGTCCATCGCGGCCGGGAAGTTGGGAATGCCAGGTAACTCGGCATCCAAGTAATTGAGAGTACTGCCGGAAGCGATCGGTTGAAACCCCCCCATATGGGTTTCACCTAGCTCTGCTGTTGGAGGCGATTCCGTCTCATCGCCCGACTTGAACCGCTTGCGACCGGGCAAACCGGTATTCTCAGAAATCTGCCGCCTTTCACGGATCTGGACTTGCTGCGACCGAACCCAATTGAACGTGCAGGTCTTTCGAGTCTTGGTGCAATTAGAACATGGCCCGGCCGTGTTTTGCCAGTCTATCGTCAAGTGTTAGCCCGAGCCTCATCGTTGTATGATCAGGCGACGTCTGGGCGATTTACCAGTCTGTTGTTGTAGATCAGCGTTCAGGCTTAGCTGGATGTCCTTGAGTGCACCAGCATCGCAGGCCCTTTTGCCCTTGCGGCACTGGTCGCAGCTGCTGTTCTGCCTTCTCATTGCGTCTGCTTATGGTTGTCGCATTCGGCCCGTGGACGTTGGAAAGCAGCGATATGGCGGAGGGGAGTTGAGTCAAGTTGAGATCGAAACTGTGAGATTTGCTCACAGAGTGGCTCATGTGCCACCTCCCCCCCGCTAGTTCCCCTGTGAGATTCCGCAGCTCCCGCCATCCGAAACGGCATTGTTACGAGGGAGTGCTTGTCGAACCCACGTCCTCCTCCCAGAAAGAGGGGTGCATGTGATTTGTCCCCGCCGATCGGTTCCTGGGGTGGTGGATCTAAGTCGAAGATTACCAGACTAAATCTTATCGAGTTGAGATGAAGCATGGCAGGTCGCCCTCGAGCTCCACTGGCCAGATATCGACTCAGACAGGGATCTAACGAATGCCTCAAGTCCTTCTCCGTTTCTCTGCTTTCATTCTAGAAACCTTGGCAGTCGAGTCACAGTGCCTCGCATTGAGCAGAGGGAAAAGTAGTATACGATCTTATACCTAAAATCATCTGGTACGTATCGAGGATTTTAAGGTTTATGGGAGACAGTCCAATCATCGCGTGACCTGGTCATACCTTGAGCCAAGCGGTCAGTGGTCACGTTATCTTGTTCGAAATCTCGAGTCCTCTGTAGACCGCGGCTTCGACTTCGGACCACAATCCGAACACGGCCGGGTCCCCGAATGGAAGAATCTGCGAACACACAATGCCGGCCACCCCATTCTCTCTATCGCACCACCAGAAGAGGTTTGGTAGTCCCGCCCACCATGCCGTACCATTGGACCGTCCGGTTATTCCGCCGCTGATCATGAACGTCAGTCCCCAACCCTGCGGCGGGTTTCCGGGAACCCCGTAGAGCTCGGGGAGATTGTTGGTCAACTCCGGCTTGGCATCCTGAAGGCCTTGCCTGGAGAAGTCGGAAAACTTGGATATCTGGTTCGTAAACATCTCGTCCACCGTCTCCTTCTTTAATATCTGCGCTTTGGTTATAGGGCAGATTCCATCGTTCAAGAAAACTGACAGTATGCCTGCGGAGCTGTCGCGTCAGTATGGCAGAATAGCGGGTGCGGGGACACGCTTACGGGCATATTCCTGTGGTTTTGCAAAGATCCCGGCGCCGCCGCTGTTGAAGCACTGACGGATCTCTTCTTCCGACTGAACGATGAGCGGACGATGAAGAGGGTGGTCCCGGGCAACGATCTTGCCGTCCGGTCGTTTGTGGTGCATGTAGGCAAGCTGTGCCTTCATTGAGGGTGTTGGAAACATGTTGACATCCCGAAGTCCCAACGGCTGGCAGATGTTGGTCTGTATGTAATCGTTGAGACTAGTGTTTGTGACTCGTTCAAGGGCGATGCCGGCCCAGTCAATACTAACCTATGCTTGGGTTAGACATGTTTCTGTAAATGTACCTGCGCGGTTGCAACTTACCCCGTATTCCCACCCTTCCCCTGGTTGAAATAGGAGAGGCTGGACCATGTCTCGGATGCTTCCAGAGAACTCGTCAACCCCTGCTGGAAGACTCCAATCACGGAGTCTTGTGTTGAAGAAAGTGTATCCGAACCCAGCCGTATGCGTCAGCAACATGCGCAAAGTGATTCCTCGCACCTTATCAACGAGCTTCCCTTCCGCGCCGAGGACTTTGATATCGGCCAGTTCTGGGCATAATTTCTCGAGCTGGTCCGGATCATCCAACTTTAGCAATCCCTTCTCGACCAACTGCATGCACGCAACACCGACTATCATCTTGGTGCATGAGGCAACCCAAAATACGCTGTCCAGGGTCATGGGCTCTCTGGATGATACTCCTCTTTTCCCTGCAGAGTAAGCAAATTGCTCGGCGCCGGTACGGTCGACAACGACCACAGTCGCGCCGGGAATTTGTTTGGAGTCTGTCGCTACTGCATTTTCTACTATGCTCTTGATCTCGTCCACAGTTTGCGTGGATAAGGGCATGGTTGTTTGAAGGTATTGTGGTCTCCAGAAAGCGGTGTTGCTGCGGAGGATGATAAGCAGATGATGAGACGAAAGCTGAAGCCAAGGGAGTTGAATAGCGGAATAAAAGTTTTGGAGCAGATACCCCTCATATTATGGCCGACCCAACTTGTCCAAGCACTCGGCTCCAACGGCTTGCACTCTGCTGTCTGGTTGCCATTTAGCGCGGCTTGGCAGCGAAGCGAGCAAAAACAAACCTGGAAGAGAACTCTTGTAACCGGCGAGAACCTCGGCAGTTGTTACATAGATGTAACTGGTCCATCTGGTTCCCTTTAAGAGGGGGTTTAGGTGACACGGCAGTTGCGGATCCGCAATACTATTGACGTCGCATGCGCGATCTCCGTGTTCCCGTTGCATCTCGTTGCATCCCGTATGAGATGAACTTGCGGATCCGTGGAACTATTGATTTTGTAAATTATTTTCTTGGACCAAGACGGAGGGTCAGTGTTGTTCTAGAGCACGACCTGATCCTCACTACATATCGGGCTTCAACGGTAGTTATGGGATTAGCCATTACACATGGCGACGAAGCGGACGTGGCTCCGTCATCGAGTCTCGGTGCGGCCTGTGTTTGATGTGACATGTCGATCTGACCGCGACTTCTACAGCCTTGAGGCTCGGTGGTTTTCCGCTTCAAAGCGTCAGGTCTGCCCAGTTAGAATGAGTGCAGAACGATGTAGCATTGGGCAATAGTCGAAAGAGAATGGCGTCCATCGTCTGATGTCAAAAAGTATCGCCACATACGAAACAAGGAGGGGGCCGCATGTGTGATGTTCATTGGATTATAAGAAAGCTTTAAGTCTTCTGTGATCTCTTTCGATCTCCTGAAAAGCAGACATTTTGGCGCATGGAACATTCCTGAATGCCTTCTGTTCTCTTGTCTTTTTATCACCAAACTTGCGTAACCCGAACGAAAACTCTAAACTCGAGGACCATGATTGTATCCAAGCAGCAGAAAAAGTTCGCGACCGACTTGACAGATTATGCTTCGCGACATCAAACAACCGGCCCTTATGCTGATGATCTCGACGTCGATGTTCTCATAGTTGGTGGTGGATTTGGTAGGTAGCCCTATGTCATGTCAAATATCCTGTCTATGCTAACTTCGGTACGTGATCCCAGGGGGGGTCTTTATGCTCAAAACCCTTCGTGAGATAGGTCTGCGAGCCGTCATCTACGAAGCCGGGACTTCTCTTGGAGGCACTTGGAGATGGAATAGATACCCTGGGGCGCGCGTTGACTCTGAGGTTCCGGAGTATGAGTTTTCATGGCCCGAGGCTTTCAAGGATTGGACATGGTCGACCAACTACCCCGACTTCCAGGAGCTCCGAGCATACTTTGACCACGTCGATAGAGTGAGATAAGTCGCAGACTTTCCTGTACTGAGCTAAGTGTGAATTTCCGAGTACGACTGACATCGTATGCCACAGGTCCTGAACATATCAAAAGACTGTTCCTTCGGGACGGTTGTGGTTGGCGCCCAGTTCCAGCCCGACGAAGGTAAATGGCACATCAAGACTGCCGACGGCCGCCTGGCCAAGAGCAAGTACTTTATCGTTGCTGCTGGATTTGTGAGTGGCGATTTCGAAAATAGCGTTACAGTTCATGAGAGTTGACCCGGGTTCGTATACAGGCTTCAAAGCGCTACATTCCTAATTGGCCCGGCATCGAAAGCTTCCGTGGAATTGTGCATCACTCATCATTTTGGCCCGAAGAGGAAGTAGACGTACGCGGCAAGCGATGCGCCGTCATCGGGACTGGTGCGTCTGGCGTTCAGATCGCTCAAGAATGGGGACAAGCCGTTGGTGAACACGGAGAGTTGAAAGTCTTCCAGAGGACTCCGAACTTGGCTTTGCCTATGGGCAAGCGGCTCCTTACACCGCAGGAGCAGAATAATGGCAAGTCATGGTACCCGCGCCTATTCAACCTCCGCGAGAAATGCTTCGGCGGATTCTTCTACGGAATGATCGAGCGAGGTACATTTGATGATGCCCCGGAGGAGCGCGAAGCAGTTCATAGATCTCTATGGGACCGTGGCGGGTTCAGGTACTGGCTTGGCAATTACAAAGACATGCTTTCCAACGCCGATGCAAACAAGGAAGCCTACGATTTCTGGTCTCGGAACGTCCGCGCTCGAATCGGAGATCCTAGAAAGAGAGACATCTTGGCGCCGACGGTTGACAAGATGCCTCACTTCTTTGGCGTCAAGCGGCCATGCCTGGAGCAGAATTATTACGAACAGTTCAACAAGTCCAACGTGGATGTAATCGACATAAGCAACAATGAAATCTCGAGTTTCTCCGAGACTGGAATCAGGTTGAAGGATGGGACTCACTATGAGTTCGATGTGGTTGCAATTGCCACTGGGTTTGTACGGCGCCTGGTCTTCTTTGTCTCCGCCAGCAATGATTCGCAAGATTGGGCACAGCGTCTTCCGGCGATGCCAAGTCCTCAGCCCTGACCACGCAACGTTGCTTGCACATGTTGGCTGACTTACAGATTCTAGGATATCACCACTGGAGGTATGACAAACATGGGTCTGAAGAGCATCAACAACACCAACCTCCAGGACGAGTGGAAAGCGGCGGCAAACACCTATCTCGGCACAACCATTAGTGGCTACCCCAATATGTTCCACCTGTATGGCCCCCATGGTCCGACTCTTCTCAGCAATGGACCCTCGACCGTCGAGGTGCAAGGTCGATGGATCGCGGACTGCATCCGCAAGATCGAGCGGGAGCAAATCAAGTACATCAACCCCACCGCAGAAGCTACCAAGGCCTGGAAACAACGGATCAACGCCCTCAGTGATGCGACTTTGTTCCCCACGACACGTTCGACGTACATGGGCGGGTCGGTTCCGGGCAAGGCATTTGAGCAGGTCAACTTCGCAGGGGGTATTCCGCAGTATGCGGATGAAATCCGGGAGAAGTTAGACAACTGGTCTGGTTTCGACGTCGTCAAAGGTACTCGGGGCAGAAGCAAGATCTGAGGTGGCTACAAGAAGAAGTAGAAAGTGTGTGTCCATTTGCCTGCGATGGTTGTCCACGGAAATGCTGATGGGATTAGGTTTCCCATTAAAGTCAATGATCCAAATAATAGCGTCATATCAGATTAACCCGAGATCTTGCTTTTCAGAGGTGAAGGCGGAACTTGTGCTCTCATATTCGCTAACGACTTTTAGGGACTTCTTGTGCTGCTATTTCGCCGACCGAATGACTGGAGTTTTCAGACTCTCTAAAAGCCAATATGTGAAGCTTGCCCGGTTGTTCCATGATGGGCAATGCAACTTACACTTTGCATATCTCGTTTATTTATCAATGACTGAACTTAGCGAGCCAATTTTCTATTTCACATAGTACATAAACTATATATTCTGGACTGTAGAACCTGGACTGTAGACCCCATAATCTCATTTGTTTGCACATCGTCACGCAACTGTCAGCCAAGAGGTTGACTAACTCAACCCAACGTCATGGGCAGGCCAACGTGTAAGACAGTCTAAGCATGACAGGCTTGTTTCTATCTTCTCACAGCCTTACAATAGCAGACGAGCTAATAAGTGTGATTAGTAGCAAGGTGAGAGATACTCTAAGCCTTGTCTGCACACAACACTCTGCTTCTAGTGTGAGGAAACCAAGTGCTGCAATGGTCTCGCCATGCCTCGCGTACAATACGACTGGCATATCTAGCAGGTGTACGAGAGGTTCGTCGCCTGGGGCGTCGACCCGGAGAACATCATGGTCGAGGCCTACCCCCTTCCTAAGTGTGCCTTGGGATGCCAGAGCTTCTGGTGCGGCAAGGAGTGCCAATGCGTGGCTTGGTAGATGATGGAAGACGACAGGGTCCAACCTGAACTCGTCCTAGAGTGAAGTTTGGGCGGTCTACGGGCCCCGGGTATTGGTGAGATTCTTCGTCAGAGTTTCCTTCTAGAGCAACTAGAGGCATCAGAATAGAAATAAGACGCCGTCCATTAAAAGCGGTTTAAACATGACCAGAGAATATGAAGCATTCACTCTAGCTTATAGAGATGACGAATACTTCGAGACTATTTGAGGGATCGACCGATCACCTTTGGCCCAGGTCAACGTCTGACCATTGGTCAGTCAGCCATGTTGTTATATGTCCGATGATGCAGTGTCTCTTTGAAGGACACTCCCCCTTTGGCCCAAATCATCAAGCCCTTTCTCCGCCACAATGAAAGCTAGAGGAATATTATAATGTACTAATTGTATAGAACGGTCAACCAACGTATGTCGATTAGCCTTGTGAAGCATGCCAGAGTGAAAAACCGGTTATGTGGTTAACAGTTGTTCTCATTATATGAAGGTCAAACCCTGGATTCATTAATGGAGAGGGCATTTCTCCCCGTTCCCAAGCCCCTAGGAAAAAAAACGCCATCCCGTCTCAGTCGTAAGCCATGACCCATTACTGTCATCCCGTCGCTACTAATAATAAGAGTCCAAAAGGCAATTCAGAGCAAAGCAATTCAAGGATTCAACCCAGAGCTCGCCGCGCTCTCCCCCACCTGCAGCTCTTCGTCAGGCACACCGACAGCCACGCTGCTGGCAACGCTCATCGTAGTGGAGGACCGTTCCCGCTCGCCTCCCGGCCGTCTGGGGCCGGCAATGCCGGCGCCCCCAGTCGTCACGCCCGCACTGGTGGCGGTACCAGTAGCAGCGCTGCCGGTGCTCCCGCTCCTCTCCCGCCCGGCCGTCTTCTCCCGGACGAGCTTCTCCAGGTCGCGTATTCGCTGCTTGAGCGCCTCGTTCTCCTTCTTGGCGTTCTCCAGCTCCTGGCGGTGCAGCGCCGTTTCCTCGTACCTTGACGTGGTGGGCATGAGTCCGGGCGACAGCTGCGATTCGCTGCCCCCGGGGGTGTGGGCTACCGGTGTGGCTCCTGTGTGCTGCTGTGGCAGGCGCTGCTGTTGGAAGTATGTCAGGCCGCTGCCGCTCGGGTCCAAATAGTGGGACGATGGCGCGGGCGACGAGGACAAGCTATGGCGCGAGGCCACGCTGTCTTGGCGAGCGGGGTTGGCAGGTCTCGGCACTGGCATGGAGGCGGTAGAGACGGCAGCGGAGCCGGCGACGGCAGTCTGGCTTCGGGTGCTCGCATTCGAGGCGGTGCGGTGGTGTTGGCGGGAGCTGTTGGAGGGAACGGAGGGGGTGGAGAAGGCGGCGCCGGACAGAAGGTGGGTGTCGGGGCCCTCGGTCGTGTTGGAGGCAGATGTCGACGAGGCATTGGAGACGACCGAGGCGTTCTGGGCCGTGCGGAGGAGCTGGAGTTCTCGTGTAAGACGGTTCACCTATGGCATGTGTTAGCTGACTATCAAGGTAGCATGCCGGGCCCGCGTGGTTGAGACGTACCACTGCCTCTTGCTCCTTCTCGAGCTGCATGTGAAGTTCGGAGGCGGTGATGGGTCGCGGGTGGCGGATGGGGCCCGGGCCGGAAACGGATGGCTCAGGGGCGGCCGGGAGTGATGCGACGGTTGATGGGGCCATTGGCGGAGACCCAACAGAGGGGTTGGGGTGGTTGACGATGTTCTGGTTCGAGGGGAGGATGTTGAGTGAGGAAGAGTCGGATGATTGAGTCGGAAGCGGAGGAGGCGGCATCTGATGAGAGGAAGAGCGTCGAGAGGCGGTTTGCGGATGCGGTGAGGCGGGAACGGAGTTGAGATCAGGCATTGCGGGCGGAGGTGCTGTTGAGGGGGGGCTTGGATGTTGCTGGTTTCCTGGAGGTTGATAGGAAAGTGAAGCCGGTGTTCCCGTATGAGATGGGAAAGATTATCTGGCGGTGGTGATTGTGGCTGTGGTTGTTTGTTATCAGACGCGTCTGATTGTTTGTCAGTCACGGTCACCACGCCCTCAAAGAGTCGAGTCTGGTTTGATTTGGAGCTCCGTCATGCTTCATGCGTTGTTCCCCCGACCCCCCACTTTGAGCCCCATATGAGGTCCCAGCCACAGCCCCGCCTCTGCCACAGCCTGCACCGCCACTCCAGCCTCTTATCAATGATCTTATCTTATCTGGCTCTTATCTTTTCGGCCGTGGAGTCATCCGGCTCCGAGACTTCTCTCTCATCTCCCCCTTACTGGACTTCCCCTTCGCATCGCACAACCGCCCCCAAACCTAAACCAGCTGTACAACACAGCACCGCTATTGCGGTCCGATGTTGTATCGCCGCGATGGAAACCACAAGATGCCCTTACCCGGCAGTGTCACATCAACCCAGTCTACCACAAATAGCTCAACCGCGAAATATGCTTTCCCATCTTGCCAAAGCTCAATATCACGAATGCCACCCCTCCGCCGCCATCGCCATCTGAGCTTAAATGGATCGATAACGACAAATAGTACCACGCATTTCGCTCAGTCGCAAATTTATTCGCCAGAGTCACAAGCTCGCAACCGTCGCATACAGCTGCCAAGTCTACTGGAACCATTCATTGCCTGCCGGGAGGAGATTACTCTGGAAAGAAGGGGCGGAGGGATGGCATCATTCTCTGCGACAACACCATCACTTGCACTCTTGTGGTGGACGAAACACGACAATACGTCAATTGGATCCATTCTACCGTTTTCCTCCCCAGATCATCCACCGTTTTGCCAAATGTGGCTCTATGCCTAGCGCCAGCGCCACACGGCATCCCGCTTCCACCCCGCTCCTGACGTCGCATGGGCCGCCAGGTTTGCGGCCCCTTGCACCCCTTCCACAACAGCCACTCTCTCCTCCATTGATATGGCTAGGTATGTGTACGGAGTACACCGTATCAATACACGATTGAATTACTGGTACCGCTGCGGTCCTCCCCCGGCGCTTTCTCTCCGGGCGGGCGTCTCGAGTCTGCCACGCGGCCCCTTGTCGACTGACGACCAGCCAGCCACCCCGGCGCAATCCCATTCCCGTCGCTTATTATCCGCTTCGAGATACCCCTGTCGGGTGCGGGTTCCAGCAGCAGTGATCGAGATCCGACGTTGATGGCCAGTGACAGTTGCAGCATCTGGCAGCTCTCGGTGGCACGGCGCACCCGACGCCAAAACGGCGACAGGTGAACCGTAGCACAATTCCATTGCACTGGCACGGGCGCACTTATTCAGTCACACGTCGTCCGAACAGAGGTCGTGTTTAAGCTGCAACCACCCGACGACCATGGCTCAGCGCTTTGTCCAGCTTGGTTCGATAACACAGTCAAATATGATCGATCCCGGCGGATGCCACGGTGGGCGGGCGGCGGTCCATGGAACGGTACGGGACACGACTCAAATTTATGGAGCAGAAAGTCTCCTCCCGTTCTGGATCACCGTGGACCAACCTTGGCGTTTTGGCTGGCTGCCTACGAGATCGCCCGCTGTCAGCGATCGCCCGATGTCGAGAGTGCAAAAAACAGGTTTTCCCCCCTGCACCGGCCGCCGCTCGGTAGCCTTCGGATGAGGCTGAAATGTTTCATCATTGGACCTTGGCCGCATAAGCACTTCATCTTTTACTGCATTGTGATACTGTACTCAACCGACTTTGGCGAATTACCGTATCCATTGATGATGTGATGCTGGGACCGGCGCTCGCTTCGGGTACAGGCCCAGGACTAGGTGCTTCACCAGCCACACTTTCAAGCACACTAGACGCCATTGGTGAATAGGGAAAGAGGACATGCTTGGCGACGTCAAAGGCATGAGTACGAGCTACCTCGCTTCGCCAGACTTGCAGCTTGTTTGCTCGCCAGTGTCAGGCGGGCGCAGCGAGACGGAGGAAAGTTATGAGACTGTCAGCTGGTTCAGCATTTGAAACGGACTAAATCAACCCAAAATGAGGCCGAAAATATTAAAAAAGACACGATCGCGACAGTGTGGTTCGAGCTCATGCGGCTAGGATCCATATGTTTGCGATGCGGCACTCTACCTTTACCAAGGCCCGTGCCGTAACACTCACAGGGAACACTCCCTTTGCCCTCTCCGACATCTCGGGCCGACGACGACCTTGCACGTGGATGATTGATGGGAAATCTTATTCGGTGCCTAAAATTACACTAGGCGGAGGATCTGATCCGCCGCTGGAAGCCTAACAAAGTTTGATTCGCTTTGGACTCGGCTCATCACCACACAAGCAAGCACAGTTCCTTACCCAGCCCGCCCCGCAAAACAAAACACCTTTCTGTGAGGGAGAAAGCAAACTCGTCGAAGCGGCCGCCCTACTCTCTTCGATCTTTGGGAGGGGGTGTGACAAAAGGCGACTCGTTACACGGGAAGCGAAGAAAAAAAGAAAAGAAAAACAAAAATCAAGGATCCTGCAGCGCCTCCGCAACATACACGTTTTCGCCGTTATGTCGTTAAGTTGGTATTTTTTGGAACATTTCCGATCTTTAGAGTGATGGACCAATTCGATGATGCTGGTTGAGGGAATTCGGAAGGGCGGAAGTCAACAGAAAACTTGTCGAGAAAAATTGGAATAACGGGTTCGGTCGACAGGCGGACAGTTCACATCTCCTCTCTAATCCATGTCCCTATTCAGTTAGCCTTTTGAACGAGAAAGACGGGTTGTTTTTCCCAAATCGGCACAACATCAAGGAAGCACCGAGGGCGTTGGACAGCCCTTTTTCGAATTTCCGAGCGACGGACAGGGACAGGCAGCTTTGCTCAATGTGTCGTCACAATGACTGCGGGAGCCAATAAACAGGGGGCGGCGGGGGCGTTGCAATCGGTCTCCATAAACCGCTCGCTCGGGTCTCAGCTGAAGCGCGCTCTAAAACGGTCCACCACCGTTTTCCACGACGACCAGCGAGCTTTCGCCTGGCCTGTCCGGTGGGGTGTGGGGGATGCAGTCTCTCGACTCATGAAAAGAAGAGAGAACAAGACTTGGAGAGGTCCCAACCGGAGTCGTAAACCTGGTTTGTAGAGTTTTTTCCCTCTCTCTCCACCATACCAAAACAGGAGAAAACTGGAGAGAACAGAGTGTCGAGATCACGTCCAGCGCAAAGGCTTGTCTGCGCTGGGGCTGGCTGACTCGCTGCGGGGAAAAGAGAGAGAGAGAGAGAGAGAGAGAGAGAGAGAGAGAGAGAGAGAGAGAGAGAGAGAGGGGGGGCGCGAGCGCGTTGCGTTCACCGAAAGACACCGATAATCGGTAGCACCCGGGTCCCGGTGATCGCATTACAGGACACAGTTCGGACAAGGGGAAAATGGGGGTGAGGGTGAGGGTGTGAAGAGCAGGCGGCAGCCATGTCGATGCGCGCGTCGCACACTAGCAGCTGAGCAGCGCACGGAAGTGACTCGATGCTATTATTCGGATGTAGGGGCCAAACAAGACAAGAGAAAAGGGAGTTAAAAAAAATACAAGAAACCCAAGAGAAAAAGCAAGCGGAAGGTGGACGAGGAATGGGGGTTAAGACACTTACAGTAAAGCCAGCGTCAGGTCGCCGTGGATCCTGGCCTTGAGGGTGATTTCAATGTCGAGGTTGAGGTCGAGCCGCAGCTTCAGCGGGTTCTTGCCGGCGTCGCCGCCGCCGCCCTGCATCTGCATCTGTTGCTGCTGCATCTGCATTTGCTGTTGCTGCTGCATCTGCTGCTGCTGCTGCTGCTGCCGCGTCATCTGGCCGTTCTGGTAGCCGCCGTCGTCCTCTTCGTCCTCTTCCGAGTCGTAGTCTTCATCCTCGTCCTCGTCGTAGTCTTCCTCATCGTCATCTTCGCTGTAATCCTCCTCATCCTCGACGTCGTCGGCCTCGACGTTGTCGTCGTCGTCGTCGTCGTAGTACTCGCCCTCGTCATCCTCGACCTCCTCCTCGTCGCCGTCCAGCTTCGAGGGCTCTTGGTCCTTGGCTGTCTGGTCCGCCGCCGAGGGCTTCTCGTCGTCCTTGTCAGCGGCCGGCTTGGACTCGGGCTCTGCCTCGTCCTCGACGCCGGCCTGCTTTGACAACGAGGACGGCTCCTGCTTCTTGTCGTCCGCTTCCTGACCGGGCGTCTTTTGTTGCTCTTGAGACTGTTGCTGCTGCTGCTGCTGCTTCTTCTGTTCCTCTTCGAGCTGCTTCTGCTTCTGCTTCTTCTTCTTCTCGTCTTCCGTCAGGTTCTGTTCGTCCCCGGTCTTTAGTTCGTCGCCTTGCGGCGCATCCTGCTTCTGGGCGTCTTGGGGCTTCGCCTCCTCGCCGGGCTTCTTCTCCTCGTCTTGTGATGACTGGTCCTGGGGCTTGTCCTCTGTTGGCTCTTCGGGCTTGGGGTCCTCGGGCTTGGAAGCGTCTTCAGGCATGTCCTTGGCTTCGCCGGTCTGCGCCTCGTCCCCGGGGTTGCCGAACTCGCCGACGGGCGTTGTGCCTTCGGGTTTTTGCTCTTCGGGCTTCTGATCTTCAAACTGCTGCTGCTGCTGCTCCTCTGGCTTGCTGCTGCCGGGCTGCTGGTTGCCGGCGGCGCCTTGGCCTTGGCCCTTCTGCTACTGATTAACAACCGTTGCTCAACACCCACGCACGCCAGCGCCGGGATGATAGAAAGAAATAGACGGAGGTAAAGACTCACCTTGTTCTTGTTCCTGGCCATCGTATCCTCCATAAATGTGATTGGGGTTTCGTGTGTGGGACAGGTTATCTACGCAAGCTTCCCCCGTTCAATTCTCAGCGGGAAACTAGCAGGTGAAACTTGGCTGAGCGTGTGTGTGTTGTTGTTGTTGGATGAGAGTTTTCAAACGGCACAGTATTGTTCACCGTAACTCCTTTCTACAGCGGATATTGAGTTGTATGAAAAAATAGTCGACAGAAAAAGGATCAAAATTTGAGGGAAAGGTGGGGGGGGAGAGAGACAACAGACCATCCGGAAAGGGGAGGAAGAGTAGGAGGTTATGGTACAGGCTCAGGCTTGGATAGTTAAATCCATATCTTCTGTATTCCTGTTTCCCTAGCTTCGTACGAAGAGAAGCCATGCATTCATTACCTCACACCTTGCACGCACGCACTCACACCCCTCTCACGAGGGGGTCGCAAACAGGGAAAAAAAACAGCTTCCCCAGCAAGGCTGAACGAAACTAGGACCCGAGGATCCCTTTGTGACGCAATAGGGTGTGGAATATTGTGGGCAGTTACATAGCACTGCTTGTCACCTGGAAAGGGGAGGGGGTGTAAGATCAGATCAGAGGCAAGACGGGCCATAGAAGGGTCTAGGCCTTCGCGGCTCCCGCGATGCCTCAAGGACGGCGAGAGGGAAAGCAAGCTTGCGCTGTGATGCCACTTCCGATACAGGTTTTGGACGAGGGAGGGGGCGGGGAAGCACAAAGAGAAGCAAGACTCCCCATACCTCGATCGGCAGGGTCCCATGAGAAGACATCAAAGTTTCAGGCCAGGCTCCGCGCACCAGTCTGTTCGGCATGGGGGCGGGACGGACGGCATGCAAGCGTGGCCCGGGAAGGGAGAGACAGAATGACGTCGGCGTAGGTGGGAGGGTTGCGTGTGTGTAAGAGAGAGAGAGAGAGAGTGTGTGTGTGTGTGTGTGTGAGTGAGAGAGAGAGTGAGTGAGAGAGTGAGGTGGAAGCGAGCTCCGGTCCAACCACTTAGACGCGGACATGGCAGAATGACGGACACGTACACGTACCTGTACGGATACAGACCAGACAGTCAAAGCAGACAAGACCAAACAAACTGCAACGGTTGAGTGTAATGACGTCGAAAAGCCTGCCAATACGAATGCGAGATCCATCGAGCTTCCCGGACCGTCGCATCTTCCTCCACCTCCTCCAGCCTTTGGGCGGGAACAACGAACGGTCTGGACTCTCTTCACTTAGCCACACCTGTGGGGCCGGTCGGGGCAGTCGGGGCGGGCTAACATCACATCACATCATATCACCTCTCCCCCCCTCCCCCCCCCGGAGGACCCAAAGTTCCCAGACAGGGGGTTCCCGAAACGTGCATCTTGATCCTTGGGCCTCTCTTTCTCTCTCCCTCCATTTCAAATCCCTAATACCTACACACTGCATACCCGTAGTGCACAGTGCTTTGGCTCCATTGCTGGCTTGAAGGTGAGCGAACGCTCCAAGAAGGAGGGGAGGATAAAAAAAGAATCGGGAAAAAAAAAGGAGAAAATATGATGACTGTGGGCATTCATTCCCACACACCACAAGGTTGAGACCTGTTTCTTCTGAATGTTGTTACCTTGTCCCCAGTCTTCCAGTCCTCCCAGTGATCCATCCTCGCTGCCATCTTTCCACCCTTTCCTCCTCCTTTCCTGAGACGCAGTGACATATCGGACAGGCCAGCAGAGAAGAGAAGTCAGGAGAGGATCCCCAGCGCGGTGCAGCTCCACTTTAACTCAGCGCACGCGGTTCAAGGGTGAACTCTGACGCTTCCGAGTCCCGAACGGCGCCCGCCACTGGATTGAGAGAGATCAACCACCATCTCCATCACCCACGGTGTGCTGTGCTGAGGGTACGAGGGTCTCATCTCTCCCCTCTCCCGATATCGACCCAGTTCATCACTCGATATACTGGGCCCTCTCCCGCCAGCTTTACCCTTTGGACAGCTTGATCCTTTTTCAACCCCCCCCCCTCCCCCCGACCCAAAACATGGTCATCGGCCTGTTAGCAATCGCCGCCATCCCTACAGTCATCGGCACGGGGCAAGCTGTAAGCGCCCAGAAGAAACAGAATGCCGCAGCAAGGGAGCAGGCCAAGTTCAGTCTCACCACCGTCCTCGACGTTGACGGCAAAGAAGAGGAGTGTCCAGTCGTCCTGGTGGACAACAAGGTACGCCGATCGAGTCCAATAACCCCCAAGCAGACCATCGCTTGCGTTCACCCCCTTCCTTACCTGTTTTGCCATCAACCTCCTCACATACTCTCTCACACCCCCCTCCCCTCTGCTGCGGCATCTGCAGGTTCTGCAGCTGCTTCTGCACGTCTACCTTCTTTTCCCTGATTCTGTGCTTCTACCTGCCCAACATGTTCCCCTTTCCAGCGACTGGGGACACACCCGCTCGGACAACCTCGCCCGGTGTGTGTCTGCATGTGTGTCTTGGCTTACACTAGCACACGCCGAAACCTTACGTCTCATCCCCATTTGCCGGTAGGCTAATACCTCCTCCTTCACGCAACCAACAGCTCTGGATAAACCACAGCCTGGCACCGGCCCCGGGGCACAAGTTCTCGGGGTACTACTTCAACTACCCCTGCGAAGAGCAGTACCGTGGCCTGGTCTCCACCATATCCGATGATCCGCCCATGCTCAACTGGATCTACGTCGACGCTGACACCAGAGCCATGCGGCACGGGGGCCGCAAAGACACCGTCGACCACGTCATAGGCCCATGGGGCTGGACAGAGGACGAGAAGTATCTCTCGTTACGTGGCAGCGGCCTCGGCTTCGTCGCCGTCCTAGAAGATAACGGCAAGTGGGCCATCTACTGGGATCCGGACGGGAGGCTGCGTGAGGGCTACGACGAGGAGGACTGCGTCGAGATCTCCCTCAAGAGACAGATGGCGCTAGGCATTGAAAGCGGCTACGTTAGAGGTTAGCCGAACGAGCGTCAGCGAGGGAGATCGACCGAGACGGAGAAAGAGAGAGAGAGAGAGAGAGAGAGAGAGAGGTAGAGAGAGATGGAGAAGAGGGTGTGTTCGACGTGGAACAACCTGGGGGGGAGGGGGTTCGAGGAGCCTCGGAGCTTTTGGGGCAACGTGCGAATTGAGACGAGCAGCTGCTCGGGTGGTGAGGCGTTTTCGGATAGGCTTTTTTTTGCATGGATTCAAGTTTAGAAATTGACATTTGTAACCAACCCCGTGAGCCCTTTCGTCGTCAGTGCATAGCATTTTGGCAAGCCTGTGAGCTTAAAGTGACTTACACGAAGCTTGTTTGATGGCGAAAAGTAGACTGATGGTGCGTCATGCTTGCATATAGTCAGTGTGCTAGAGACCATTGAATCAACCCGCGGTATAGGGATTTGACCGCGTGATTGGGTACGAGTGTGTATGCCTGTGGTTGAAATCCGAATGGAAGACAGGGGTGCTGGACACCGTTCTCCCGTACTTCCTTTTCCCCTTCTTTTTCATTTGGTATGGCATGGCATGGATGCAGTTGGGTTGGAAAGCGTGCATCCTCCTTCGGCGGCCTGCGTAGATCGGGGGCCACATCAGGAGCATGAGACACACCCAACGCCCTGGCCGCCCCAGTGTATCCACTCCCTCCTCCGCAAGCCGCTTGGCCCTCTCAACGTCATTTCGGTCCAGAACATCTCGAGACTCGAGTGGTGTGACGCAAAGGAAAGGGGGCGTGTGCGAGAGATGGGAGAGAACCTGGGTCTCCCCAGGGTCCAACATGATCTCATCGGAAGAGAGGGAGGGTGTAAGTTTTCATCCTGTTTTGACCCCCCTCAACCTTCCCCCCCCCCCCCCCCCCCCTTCCGGGTCCTGGCTAGAATCACTTATATGTTGCCGTCCTCATCCAGCTCAATATGTTGAAACAGACTTTGGAAGAGACACCTCGAACTTACCGGTGGAATAAAAAAACGCCCTTAATATCAGTTCCTCCCTCCCTTTTCCCCGACAGAAAGAGCTCCTGTAGTCCATCCTTGAACTTCTTCGCTTAGAGTTGTCAGTCACTCGACAAAAACCATCAAAATGGCATCCCCTCGTGAGAGAAACAACACCAAGTACGCCTCCGACGACGAGACCTCGGAAGCTCCCAGCGAACAGCAGCAGGAGAAGCCCCAACGTCGCCAGAACCGCAGCAAGAGCAAGCAGATGCAGAAGCGTCAGCAGGGTCAGCAGCAGGGCGGTCCCCTCGGCGGCCTCACCGATGGCGGTGTTACCAACGGTGTCCAAAACACACTAGGCAATGTTGCTGGTGGTGCCTTGGGCGGTGGTGGTGGTGGCAGCGATAAGAGCGATACACTGCGGTTGCGTCTGGATCTCAACCTCGACATCGAGATTACGTTGAAGGCGCGCATCCACGGTGACCTCGAGTTGGCTCTCTTGTAAGTACCACCCAAGTTTCCTCCCAGTCTGGCCCCTCCATCTCTTCCGGCTAGATTCCCGTTCTGTCTCCCTTTTCTTACTCGCAGACAAGGACGGGCTAGTTAGGCCAAGTTCATAATGGGCTAATGGGCTTCTCCTCGTCTTTTAATCAGGAACTGAGAGACGTTTTCCCAGGGACAAATCTTAACGCAATCCATCCGCCGGGTCGGTTTCCTTTGTTATTTTAATTATCATACGGAGTCGCGGAAATCTTAGTGGGCAAGATGTTTTCATTTTGCCGGAATTTGCGGGCTTCTTTTGTTGATTCCCCCTGGTCATTCCTCCGTAAAAAGAAACGGTTTGGGCCCGACAATGGGCGGAAGGAGGACTTGGTGGACAGGTGGAATATTGGTATGCATCTGCCACTTGTATTATGAAAGACTTGTGCATCGACATTATGAGATACGGACGCTATTTAGGGAAATGTTATGGGTATCCTGTTCAACGTTAGCCAAAGCACTCTAAACCGTTTTTTTCTTCTTCTTTTCTTTTTCGAACTGATACGGAGTACGGATACTTGACCATGAATTACGAGTTCTCGTCCTCGGAGTGACCATGGCTTCCCCGCAAAAGCGTAGCGTCACTTCCCATGCAGATCCATTAACATCATTAGCGCGTGTCGTCAGTTACAGCACCACCATGTACACCCCGTCGGCCGCCCACGCGCTAACAACCTAAGATGGGGTGGAGCAGCGTTACAAACGATGGCCCGGGCCATTGCTGCCATGATGACTGCCGTCGACCACGAGGGAAAGGGGGGGGCGTCTCCCGGTGGCTAGGCGGAAACGGTGGTTGACGACCGTACACAGGCATCCATAGTGGTCATTTGGCGCCGTAGATCGTGGATTGAGGGGGCGAGGGAAGCAAGTCTCCCGTCAGTCACCGGTGGGGTCAAATCCACCCTCGCAACTTGTCAGCCGCGACAAACCCTATCGTCCATTGCTTTCAGAAAAGCTGCCTTTCCTAGTCACCTAGTGCCGTCGGGACCCAACGAGCGACGAGGGCTGGCCGGGGAGCGAGTGGCATCTGGCTCGAGTCGATACTCGACGGCGTCCGAGACTACTGCGGGAAGGTCTTGCTTTGCCTTGCTTTCCGCGCGCCCTTTCCTGGGCCTTGGTCCGACGTTAGCCTCTTCCGGTCTGTTCAAACTCTCAAGAGTTGGGACGAGACAAAGCCTAAAGATACAGGCACACTGACGGGGTCATGCCAGAAGCCTGACTTCATCCTGCGTCTTCCAAAGCACTCACCGAGAACACCCCTCAAAGGGGAAGAAAAGCAAAAATTCTCTCGCGCAAGCCCGGACATCCCTGCTCATAGCAGACATTTCCTATGCAGTCAAGCCACAAGACGGCATCAATCTTCCTTGTCCGTCCAATGTCAGCGCGTCGCAGCCGCCACATGACGCGAAGTAACTCACTCGCGCTGCCAGATGTAACGGTGAAACGGCCCCCTCCCTCCCTCCCTTGCGCCGCCCCCGTAACCAATGCGACGGGCAATGTCAGCCGCCCCCTCCTCTTGGGAAAACGGTACCCGCAGTACCGTCTCGGACCCTGAGGCGGGAAACGGTATGAAACGCTAAGCGTGCAGGGAAACCGTGGCTAAACGGGAAAGCTTTGCATCGCATCCCGGCGCATTGGGTGCAAGCTTCAGCCACTCACACCCCGTTGCTTCCAACCTCTCCTTCCCGTTCGCTTGGAAATGTTTGCCGAGTGATCTTCACCGTCAACCACTCCTCGTCGTCGTCAGGCCATCAATTTACAACCGGTTTCCCGCCGATCGTGCCGCTGCCGTCTCATTTCTCACGTTCTGGACTGTGATGGACTCTGCGCCGCGTGCAGCTCATTACCATCTCAGGAAACCCATCGAGATCATCGTTACGTGGCCGCGTCGGTTGTGGCGTTAGAGTGGGTTCCGCTGCGATCCTGCCCTCAGCAGACTCGAGACGTCTTTGAGGCCCAGGTGAAGCTGCTCGGGCATGCTGGTTAGAGTCTGGTCTGATGAAAGCAGAACTCCCCTTACTGAGCCACATCCTCAACTTACCTAGCTTGTCTCGGTGTGCGAAGTACATCAGTGCTTAGACCTTTTTCCCCAGAGTCTGTGGTCGCCAATAGGCTCTAAAGCTTCGTTGTCGGTTGATCGATGGATACCGTCGCAAAGTGAGCACCGAGGCAATTGTCCACCGTGCTCTTCAACGAAGAGTCGACGGCTAGCTGTGCGTTCCGTCTGCACAATAGCCCTGGTGCCAACCGAGCGCAGTCAGCAACACGGCCATTCGCAGTCGTTCGTGTTTCGGCAGAAAACAGGCTTTTCCAGGCTCGTCGGTCCTAAGTTTGCCGCCAATCTCAGCTCTGTTCCGGCGCCATTTTCGGAGTCGTGTCTCGGTTCCATCCTGCCAACAACACCAGCCTTCAACGACCCCTCCCCTCTCTTGCTTCGCTGCATCCCATTTCCGAAAGTACCTGGTCTCTGGTTCCCTGGTCGAGTCCACAGATTTCCGCTCGACAAGTCTTTGATCCTATTATCCTTGCACAGCGGCCTGACAAGGTCTCAAGGTGAACCGTCGCCCCGTTAGCCCGTTCTGGAACCTCCAAGAGGCTGCCCCAGTCTTCGTTGCGGCAGACTCGGACAACCCACTTTTGGCCATCTCATCGATTGACGTCACAGCAACCGATCCAACCCCCCCCCCCCCCCCTCCCCTTCTGGCTTCGAGACCTTGCACACGCTCTGCAGACCTGCTGCCTGCGTCGCCCATCTACCAGGAAAGCTCTGCTCGCGAGTGTATCGACCAAGGGGTGCACCGAGAGAACAGCACACAACGACACAGTCTGTCACCCTCTCGCAACCGCCCGGCTCCCTGAAGTAAAGGCGATTCTCAGGTGGGTGCCCACTCTCCATTCCTCTGTCCGGCTGGCCTCCCTGACCGTTGCTTTGCACTCCCTTCCCCTCTTCGTTCTGTAGTGAGGCTCAGCTGACGCGGAATATTCTTCCACCACAGTACCATCCACCGATGGCGGCAATCCCTCCTTCTCGCCCGACTCCACTCCAAACTCTCCGCGACGAACCCGAAGGCCCAGCCTTGAAGCAGCCTGCACAGCAATCTATGCAGAGCTTCGTACCTGCGCGTCTGAATTCCTCTTCGCACACTATGCAGCGTGTCGAGCCACAGTCTACGCCCGTATCTGGCGATCCTGAGCATACCTCTCGGCACGACGAATATGAGGTTGTCGAGGTCGAGGATGACGATTCTAGACTGGAGGCGCCAAGGAGTACCTACTCCAGGCCGCCTCTGCCTCGTCTGAATTCCCAGTCGCGAGCATCTCCTTCGCCGGTGCCTCCTCATGAAACCTCCCCGCCGCAGCCTCCCCCTCGCCGAAGCAGCAATACAGGTACCCCACAGCCGCAAGAGGGCGGGCCTGCTCATCTGCAGGGCTCGCGGGAGATACCCATCCCCATCAGGACATCGTCGAGTCAACATCAAAGTACGCCCAAAGCACCCCCGCCGCCAACAACTGAGACTGCAGACAGTGGCACGGACGAAGCATCACCTGATGCCCAATCCCCCTCGAAAAGCACCCCCAAGCCGCAAGAGAAGAATGCTCCGATTCAGATACCCAAAGTTACACCACTGTCCTCCGGTCTCACGCTGCCGCCAAACCTTGCTCAGCTAGCACAAGGCCTTGACGGAAAGTATGTCGACGAGTTTGGAAACATCCTCGACTGGAACGGTCAGGTGCTTGGTCGTGTAGAGGGAGATCTGCCGTCCATGATCGGACGGCCAGTCGCGGTAACGGGCGAGATCTTCAGCGAGGACGGCGAGGTTGTTGGTTATGTAGCGGAGAATGATACCATCCCCCCGGCGCCTCCTTCGCCCAAGCCCATTGAAGGCATGGGCGACGGTTTGAAGGTAGACCATATGGGCAACATTCTCGATAAGAATAATAACGTTGTCGGCCACTTCGACGGCGCCCCTCTGGCCAAGTCGCTGCAGCAGACTGGCCAGACTGGCAAATCAGGACAGTCTAGTGGCGCCCGTCCTGGCCATGTCCCTGACACGCGGACAAGCTGTCCTCAGTGTACTGCGCATCAGGCCAAGCCATCCTCCACAACTCCCAGTCCTTCGGAGATCTTCATGGACGTCAAGTCGACCAATGACGGAATTCAGCTCATCATTAAGATACCCACGGTTTTTCACGGCGGAGGAAATCCGAATATCCATATAGGAACCGGATCGTGATTTGGATGGAATTTGCATACTTGGGGCGGAGATCGACATTGGAGTTCTGGAACGGGTTCGATAGAAGGCAGCATCCGGCGGCGTTCAGACGGTTGTGACACGGTTGTGATAGGCTAGAACGTGCACCACAGTTCCAATAAAGCCAATCTCAGCAGCGAGAGAAAGGTTTGCATAACTCGTCGCCCCCGTTGACCCTTCCTTGTGAGGCTGAAAAGTGGGCATGGTTGAGCTGCCGTCCGGATCGTTGCGTGCGCGTAGACGCGGAGGTGGATTCGAGAACTTGCGATGGATGTGGCGAATAGCACTTTGTTTTTTCGTGTTTCGGAGGGTGTCATGACGTCTGTCGCGCATGCACGTCCAACCTTTGTGAGCTTCGTAACCAGCTACGCGAGAAGAAAGTGTTGGAGCAACTGGGGGGTTGATTGTGGAGGAACTGACGAATGGATGATGCAGGGCAGGGAGTGTCCTTGGAAACACCAGCCACACCAATTGGGCAGCTCCAAGAAAGGTTGTCGGCGATCAATCCGAATTCCAATGGTACTTCCCCAGGTTGGCTGGTTGTCACACCATTCCCCTAGGTGCAGCTTTCTTCTGCAGAGTGAAGTTGCGTCATGATACCTAGGATCCAGCCCTTCATGGGCTCGGACGATTGTGGCTTTGCGTCATGATGGACGAACTGTGTGACTGACCATCCTTCCCCCTCCCCATGAAGTCACTGTGTGGCTCAAGCAGGGACCAGAGCTTCGAAGGGAGAGCTCCTCGAGCTTGCTTGAGCTTCCCCCTTGACGTAAGCTCAAGAGTGACTGGTGAGCTGGAAACTTGATTTAAGCCCAAGAGTTGAAGGTATAAGACGTCTGACCGGCAAGTCGCATCAAATAACTTTGGCTTCCACCTCCCATACCTATGCAATCATCACATGACAGCTACATTTTCTAAGATACCCTGTTAGCGCTGAGTATAACGAATTCACATCCAAACACGAACAACAACTGCAACAATACAACAACAACCAGAAGACGAACATGGTCGGCGCTGCTTCAAAGTCTGGCAGCAGCATGCTGGGTGGTCGTGGAAAGGAGACTGAGCAGAAGTCAAGTCAGTAGCACACTTACATGGTAATTCAAAATGTGGATGACAGCTGCTAATTCTTACAAATAGCATACTCGGTCGAGCAAGACATCCATGACCATGGCGAGAATCTCGTCGCCGGTGTCATCGGCAAAACGGGCGAAGTGGTAGACGAGACCGGCAAGACTGTCGGCAAGGTAACAGAAGGCGAGGCCGGAGAGCTGGTCGGCAACGTGGTCACCGCGACTGGCGA